ATAAATTAAACCAAATCGAGTTCAAAGTAATCATTGAATAATATCTCTCAGCTAATGAAAGTTTTAGAAACAACGTTCTACTTTTTTATTGTTCAGATCAATCAGAACGAGGCGTTTATTGGAAAACTCCTCACTTGTTGAAACTTTTTATTTCATGTGACGTTTTTATTGAACACGAATTACAAATGGCGCGCTCTTTGTCTATTTTCCTTCTTCTCTTTTTCGTATTAGGAGGAAAATAACCGAATAGCAAGATTTATTGACGGGAGGTTTAAACGACAGGCTGGTTTCAAAGAAAAGTGTAACATAAAACAGAATACTTTAAATGTTTTTCTTTGATGTGTAAAAGATGGTATACAATATGTAAAATATGTTTTTCTACAACTGAAGTTCAAAACGCACAAGAGTATTGAAGATAATTCAAATACAAATTTATTTTTTCTTCTTCTTGTTACTTCTTAGGTGATCGCTTTGTACATTTTTTATTTCATGTAAAATGTTTCTGTTTTCAGTCGTTTTTACTCCTTGTATTTTTGCTGAAATAAAGTTTCTCGAGTTTTTAAACATGCGTTAAATTTGCACCCTTTCGATTTTGAAAATGTAAGAATTCTCGAAAATAAACCAAATATCAACAAAAGAACAATCCTTAAGATGATACGTATTAAAAAATTAATAACTCTGTAAATAATAAAACAGACATAAAAGATCTATCAAACGTTTATTTTAATATTATTAACTAATTGTAAGCTTTTTAATCCTTAATTGTAACGCCACTGATAATTTCTAACTTTACAAAAACTCAGCTTTTTGTTTCCCTACTTTATCGTGTTTATCCAATTATTTTGAATATACCTGCACACGCTGTGAAACAAAAAGATGGGGTTTCTGTAATTTTAAAAATTTTGAACTGTTTTTAATCTTCCTCCATGTTTTATTAAATTTTGACTGCACCAGAAGATGAAAAAATGTTCCGAAACATATGTAGTACCTACTTGTGCTTAAATTATAGAAAATAAAAACAATATGACCGAATAAACCAAGGAAATTTTTATTTGTGTAATATTCTATTACGATCAGGAAATTATCCTTATTTAAATTAATTAAGTGAATTATGTAAATAAATTACAATATTAAACTGTTTAAAATAAATAAACGTTTTGAAGAAATTTGAGGGAATGTGCAAAAGTTGAATTTTCAGTATTTTCGGTGGCAATAAAGATATAAAAGATATTTTCAATATTTTTTATCTTTAATCCATGTGTTTCTCAAAACTTATTTAACGAAATCGAGTGGTGTTAAAATAAAAAAAAATCCGCATTACGTATATTTACAAAATAAATATATTATGAAACATAAAGGCGGAAATAGCACACAGAAAAAACCGTAAGGTAGATAACAGTAGAAAGTGATAGACTAGCATGCGAATGACAGAATAAAGCAAGAATTATCCCCATATCCGTCGTCCTTAGCACCAAACGATATATTTTTGGAAGTGCAAACAAAAAGCGGGAGTCCTGAAAACCGTAAACAATGCCGTTAAGGATGAAATAAGAGACACATTTGGAAATTATAGAAAAGAGGTCCAGATCGGAGTCCACCTTTATTTTTATTTGTCCAATAAAAAGCTTAACGTCTGTTGAAATGAAGACGAATGGCACCGGGAAGACCGAAAACTCGAAGGCCGAAGGCGACACGCACCGTTATTTATGGCCACGTGGTTACGTGCAGATTTTTCGGATTACAGGTAAAACAATCAAGTAAAATCAATCCACAATAACAGATTATTTCTGGGATTTCGTTCAATTTCGGAGTCAAACAATGACAAGATTGACCTTCTATTGCTAAAAGATAATGCAAAAGGCAGACAAAGAGAATATAATACAGTTGTTATTTCTTTTTTATTTATCTAAGCAATACTTTGAAGTCTTTTTCAGACGAATCTCGCATGTTGTTTTCTCAAAAATATTGTAAAACTTTTAAAACTATTAAAAAAAAAAACAGAGAAAGAAAGTATTAAAAGTATAATTTGTTCGTTACAATCTCTTACTTTGACATATGAGCATGCGCACATCGTTCTAGAACTGACTTTATTAAAGATTGTGCCTCTCCTTGATTGTGGATGTTTAAAGGCAGCAGTAGTGGCGACTTTATAGCTTTCGGATGCACCCGAAGATATTCGTATGTTTCACATTGTATTTGTCCAGTCCACAAGCTGGTGGATCAGACAATAACAATGTGAAATAGAAAATGGTGAGATGAAAAATAATATGGCTACGTCCATAACTTTGAATGACTATTCAAAGGTCCATAAAGTCGCATCTCAAGTCTATTGACAAGTATTCTAGTCTACTCCAGTTCATTGGTCTGATGTACGCACTGAACTTTATGGACCCAATGAAGTGGAGAGGGGTAGATTGAAACTGTCAATGAAAAATATGCACAATTTCGTTTTGTACATTTTGTAAACAAGATTCAGGAACGGTTTTACAACATTTTGTGCAACAAATATAAAATAGTGCATCGAAAAATAATTAACAAGTATAATTGAATACTAAATCGAAATCAAAGCACAAATATAAGCAAGATACCAAAGAATTGACGCCAAAAAAGCTTACAACATAATCGTTGAACAAAGCCAATCCTGGAATTTGTTTACAGTTCCCTAGGGCAACCTCTTCTTGTCATATACGTGTGTAAGAGTGGAAGGTTGAATCGCATAATTTCTACACTCGTGATAGATGCTCAGACGGTACCTTATTGTTCTACCCTCTCTACTTCTTTGTATGGACCCCACTGAACTATAAATTAAACTGGAAGAACAAAGTCGATCAACAAAATCAAGCCACATCACATACTTTGATTACACAGTTTATAGCTAAAGAATCAGATCGCTCACTCTGCGTCAGCACATTTGATCTCAATGATCCAGTCTATACTATGCGCAACTCGGATAATACAATGACAATCGCCTATAATAAAACAGCAGTCTTCTGCGTATCCTGAATTTGTATCCCTGGAGTGGATGTTATTTTGGAACTTTCAACTGGTCCGAGTGAGCTAACTGATTCTTTAGCAATAAACTGTGACTCCAAAAATAATATTCACTGACACTGGCAGCAGCAAGCAAAATATCAGGTGCATTTTAATCATCCGCTTCTGCTTCCGGAATTGTCGGTTTAGTCGTTTTAACCTGCCAAGATGTAGGCAACACGTAATAAGGGATCAAAATGGCGGAGTTTTTCATCTCCTTTTAAAAGGCACTCAGAAAGCTGCGCAGTATAGGCCTTTTCATCATGTGATGAGCGCAGGCGCAGCCGCCATGTTGAAATAGCGCCAATTCAAAAGTTTCGTACTGTTTTGATCAACAATGGCTGGAAAAGCAATATTATCTCTACATACAAATCAATCATTAGAAAAAGTCGTTGGTGGTGATTTACATTTTTATAACGCTGTGGAAGCACATAGTTTTGAGCAATTAAAAAGGTTCTTGAAGCGACGTGGACGAAGAAGGAAAAAAAGTGTGATTGATAGGTTAGGTTTCAATATTAACTGTGTAAATTAATGAAAACAAATAATACCTAATTATAACTCTATTATAATTAATTATGCCAACCAACTATAATTAATTGCAAAAACACATTAACATGAAAGTTAATCACGAGTATAATTAATAAGATAAATTATTTAAAATTTTAAGGATCACCATGACATTTTTATTAATATTACTGTGTATACCGAAGTAGTATTTACTATTAAAAAATATTGTGTAATACCAGACAAGGATTTTCTTCTGTTGAACCACTTTCTCCATGAACATGTAGTGAACAAATATAAGTATCTCTAGAACCTAACATCATCCATCAATCGATCAAAAACCTTTGTTACTTCGACCACATTTTTTCACTCATAATGCTCATTTTGAACATGTTTTAATATGTATTTTGCCTAATTTGATAGTTTTTTACGATATTGCAGCAAGTCTTTTTATAAAATATTAATTTATACCGTATGTCACTTTTCCTTTTCGTAATGATAACATGATTAATTATTGCAAAAATTGATTTTTCAATTAAGACACTTATTACTTTATTTTTTTATCCCATTTTTTTAAACGAATATACTTAAAATTAATATTTATCGATTATATTTTTTTTTTCACGTGGACATTTTAATATGCTTGTAAAACAGTACGAAAAAGATGGCTGATACTGACGCATGCGCACAAAAAAAATTGTGATGAAAAGGCCTATTCTCCGTATAGTAAAGGAAAATCAAAGTATGTGAGCCACATTGTGAGGTGATATTTGACACTCTGGCACCCACACGAGCGTTTCGAAATGCACTTAAAAGGAACATCAGAATTAAATTTAACACTTATTACAACTACGACATCTTTTAATTTAAGAAAATTACTTAAAATTTATTTTTGATTAATACGCAGCTGAAACAAATGGTCCAATAATAATAATAATAATAATAATTATTAAGATATCGCGTTATTAGTAAAAAAAAATAATATAACTTATCGTAGTACGCCCGTGAGAAACGAGACAGAATGCTTGAAATTGACAGTCTGGCGTCCAAATTGTCATGCGCACCGATCATTTTTTCACCCATGTCGGCTTAGAAATTAGGAGTAGGGCAGAGATAACAGAGATATTGCCATTCATTGATAAAATATAATATTCACGATGCCAATATTAAATCGAAAATCATAACACACTATAGGTCCACGGTGGGAAGTTCAGGACCGCACGATATTTGTTAATAGTGGCATCTCCTGTTATCTCTGAGGTAGTGGACACTTTTTGACATAAACAACTATCTTTCCTCTACCTTCATCACGGTGTATTACAACGCTTCTACATTCCATACAAAAAAGAAAATTAAATTATGGTGGCTGAATGTCTCAAGGCCAGTGACAATATAATCTATAGAAGAAGAAGAAAAGCTAAATAAGAGAAGATGATTTCTTATTTTCATTGTCACTTGTCACTTCAATTTAAAGGTTATAACGAAAATAAATAACATTTTATTTTATTCACAGTTAATTATAAAAACTTAACAATGGGTGAACGAAAGGGTGTAAACAAATATTACCCACCTGACTATGACCCGCGAGTCGGGGGTCTCAACAAATTCCTTGGTACCCATGCCCTTAGAGAAAGAGCTAGGAAAATCGACAAAGGGATAATTATCATACGTTTTGAGATGCCCTACAATATCTGGTGCGAGGGCTGCAAAAATCATATAGGTATGGGTGTAAGGTACAACGCCGAGAAAACCAAAGTAGGAATGTATTACACTACACCTGTTTATGAATTTAAAATGAAATGCCACTTATGTGATAACCATTTTGTGATAAAAACAGACCCGGGTGTAAGTATTATAGCACAAATAAACACTAGTTTGATCTAATCTATATGTATTTTTTAGAATTTGGACTATGTGATATTGTCCGGAGCTCGAAGACAAGAAAATAGATGGGATCCCACAAAAAATGGACAAGTCGTTCCAGAAACCAAAGAAATACAAAAAAGGTTATTTGATGATTCTATGTTCAAACTGGAACATGGGAGTGAAGACAAAAATACAGCAGAAAGTGCTAAACCTGGTTTAGTAAAATTGTTCAATAGAAATGAAGATGTTTGGGCAGATTGTTATACAGCTAATCAGATGCTAAGAACACAATTCAGGGTAAGAATCATAAATTAGTTTAGTCCAATATTAGGTACTTAAAAATTATTTTTATATATGTACTTATACCTATAATCAAGACTTTTATAGACAGGCATTTTATAAGCTTTATTTGAATAGAAACATTTATATACAAAAATATATATAATATCTATCATCAGTTAAGATGTTGTGAAGAATACTATCCCAAGTCTTTTTCTGTTAGTTTTGAGTATTACCTCGAGTATTACTCATTTGAAAGTTTTATTGCCTATAATGAAGACAATTCTAGGCTATTTTTGTTCCCCTTCTTAGGACATTGGATAGTATTGCATAAACTAGAATTAAATAGGACTTAAGATATGTCAATAACTTATGTTTCAAGAAAATGGACATAGGATAGTTTTGTTCTTAATCGACAATATATAAATAAGGTAAAAAATATTAAATACAGTATGTTTATAATAATTTGGTATCTTAATTTTGTATTAAAAGGTATAGAAGTTTCTTGTTAAACAAATTAAGACTTGTAAAATATTTTACATTTTCAGATAGACTATTATAATTAATGAATCCTTTATAAATTAATGCTTTAGTATTAATTGGTTTCTTTTGATTATTTCTTATTAATAATAATAAAGTTTATTTACAAATCCATAAATGCAAAGTACCTATATAATTATTTTAAAATTTAGTAGAAATAAACAAGAATGGAAATATTTTTGTAATACATAACTATTTTGATTTTAATAATAACTTAGGAAAATCATTCTTGCTGCTGTCCTTACTTATGTAAGCTGTTTTTTTCTAAGAATAATTGCAAGTGCATTTAAATGTATAATTACTGAGAATGATAGTATAGTATAATGTAATAAGTAATAAAATTAATAGAAATTAAAAAAAAATACTTAGGTACTTGCAATTTTATTTCAAACAGATCTGCAGGCATTTTGACAATCTGAGAGATAGTCATCCCTATAGACATCTCACCTGAAAGGCAGCATCTGGAGGATGCACAATGGGGCTATTGAGGCTAAAGTAATGTAAGGGAAACACACCTTACAGATACAGATTACAAGCAATAAATAGTAGGCTTTGCTGAAGTCTTACTTTATTCCTAAAACAAATCATTAGATAAAAATATGAAATATATATTATAAATAAACATACCTCTTATTAATTTTTTGATTTATTTAAATATTTATTATCCAAAGGTCCATATTTCTTTCTCAGCAACTAGTTGTTATGCCTAACCACCAAGAATATTTGACTGCTTCCAAGTAACTTGAAATCCACTTTTATAACCACTAAGTAGTTTTAGATTTTACTTCAGAGAATTCTGATTTTTTCAAAGTGGTAACATAACTTCCGACCTTGGTCTAAGCCACTTGCTAGCTGGCAACTGCATGATACAGAATAGACTACATATACTGCTTTTCGTGACAGCATAGTTAAGTGCTATAATATTCTACATAAAAAAAATTAAAAACAATTCCTGTATTAAATTACTATTAAGATGGTTGTCTAACATGAATCCTAAATATTTAAATTCAGTTACAAACCCAGTTTTGTCATTTTCAATTTTTATTTGATTTAAATAACAACATAAAGTAATAATTATTATTTATTATAAATTATCACATATTAATAAAAATCATTGGAAATAAATGAAAATAAATATTGACAATATTAGTGAATCTATTCAAAACATCAAGAAAGTCTATTTCTTGCAGTATTAGTCCCAAATGGGAACCCTGTGGAACCCCTGAGCTTACATCATATTGGATGAACAGATTACTAGATATCTCCATCATTTGAACTCTGTTTTCTAAATAGCAATAAAGTATGAATAACACTGTCTAAAACTTTACCAGAATCAAAATATATTGTGTCAACTTGCATATTTGCATAAAATTTTGAAAGAATGTTTTGTTGATTAACCATCAGATTGGTATCACCAGAAATATAAGCTTAGTAAAAAATTTTTAAATTTCATAGTTTTTAGTACCACTTGTTCTGTTTTAGAAAGCAAATTATGATTTGAAGCAAAAAACATCAGATGATCAACTATTGCTTAAAAAATCAAGTTTAGACATTCCCCTTTTACCGGAAAGAGAAGAAGATAAACGTTTAGCCATCCTCTTGAGCATGAAACTGCAACCTTCAAAAACCCTGTCGAAAAATATGGAATCTATAAGAAATGAAATAATATCACAATCTTCTTTACCAACGAGCAATTTTTCAAGAAGCAAAGAAGATAAGGCCATGAAGATTTTGAATCAGAGCAAAAAGGATTTGGGTATAAAAAGAAAGAGTGTTGTGGTGGATGAAGATCATAAAAAGATGAAAATTGGACCCAAAGAAGATCAATCCAATATAAATAAAATATGTGAAGGAAATGTCACATTAGATGGGGAAAACCTAGAAATTCGTTCTGGATCTGTTATACAGTTATCAGATAAACATTCCCTAGCAACTGAATGCCCTGAAATAGCAAGTGAGTCAGGTTTAGACCATGTCACAACTGAATCAAACACCGAAGAACCAAAATCATTGCCTTCTACTTCTTTAGTTGGCGATTATGGATCTTCAAGTGATTCTGAACCAAACAATTTTGAATCAATAGAAGTTGAGAGTCTGGACCAATTCAGATAATGAAATAGTGAAATATGAAAAGTAAAAAAGATTTTTAACTCAATCATGATAGGAAAGATTGTTTTGAATGTTCTAATGAATGTATTATTTGCTGGTCATCTTATATCTTACATGCCAGTTAATAATTATGAATATGAAATCTTTTGGTTAGGATGTTGGATTATATTTTCGATTATACAGACATTAGATACATAATCTTGCCTATTTGTTGTTTGCAACATGAAACTGGAACAGTGTTTAGAAAGAGATAATGTCCTATCTACAATTTGATTAGAATATTTTGGGAGATCTATACAGATTTTGGCTACATTTCAGAGAAAATGAAGATCAGTTACTTGTTAATTATTGTAATTCTTGTATTATAAACAAATGTTGGGGTAATATGTGATACTTAATATATTTTTTTGTATTAACTAAAAATTAAATAAAGTATTTATTTATTTATTTATAATTATACATGGGTAATACCCATTTGAAATTTTTACAATAGATAAAAGTAAGTTCCAAAGAGAATATTGCTATTAAGTATTTTCTTTATTTATCTTTAATTATTACGTTATGTTTCTATTTATCATGAATAGTTGGATACTAGTGGCCCTTAATAATTTTGATCCAAAGAATTTATTCTTATTTGATGCCAATATTTCGGGGGAACGCTCGCTTTGGCGCAATTGTGTGCATTTGGAGAACTCAGTACCTTATGAACCGCTTAATATGTACATTTGACCAAATCGAAAATTTTGTTCTAGATCCCATACAGACAGCCACCAGGTGAGCCTCCCATATAATGGTATTTTTAGTTTTTGACTTTTTAAAAAATTTATAATTTTGTAACGCTGCCTGTTGAGGTAAAGAGCAGTGGCGGCAATTTTTTCCAATAATTTTAGCATTTGTAAAACTTTGTTAGAGCCAATATCCCTCAAACTTCTTTGGCGTCGTCCGTTTTAATACAATTAAATCCCGAATTTTTTATAAGATTCCTGAGTCATGAAAAGGTTGCTTGATACCATCACCTAGATTACTGGAAATGGTACAAGCGCAGAAACTACCGTTTTTATTTCATCTGAAACTCGTGACATTTTCGAAGAACTTGTCAATTTAAAAAATCAAAAATTTTCCATATAGGACATATAACAACAAACAACATATAGGACCTACTTTTTAACTTGTCAAAAACCTTCTGGCTGAAAGGTGTCCCTCCCAGCCCATCAAAGTCCTGCGGGTTATCAACTTACTAGGAGGTGTCTCTCAGGTCTTCTGCAGATTAATAACGGCGCCGACAAGGGTCTCTAGATGCCCCTATTTTTTTTAAAATGACTATTTAGTGGGCTTCTACCACACACTAATGGAAGGACGATTCTGTCCGCCCATTCCACAGGGCACTGCTTTTCCTCTTATTCACTACCCAAAATCACCAAACATTTTCCAGTACCTTGACAAAGTTATCACTATTGTTAACCACGACGAATTCATCTGATTGCCAAAAATTATGACACAGTTTGAATAGCTTCTTGTACTGATGTGATCAAAAGTTATTAAGTAGGTTGCTCTCAATAATATCCATGCTCTCAAGAAAACCAATTCATCACCATTGATTAGAATGAGTTCAAAAAGTGAAGGATACAGGAGTCTGCTTATACTATACTTCGAATTCCTAGAGATGCTAGGTTTTATCCAAGACGTTTGTCATATAAAACAAATTGCATATAACTGGATCCAAATAAAACAGTACATTATAAAGGGAAGCAAGCACACTATAAACCATTGTCAAATAATACAAAATACATCTACCAAAACTAAAAGTTTATGGTTTCCGCAGGGAAGAAAATAATTATTCCATTTTTATCATAAATTCTCTCTTTTTCAATTAACACTATGTATATAAAGATTTTGCACATTACGATAGTATTGACTCGATTTAATAAAATATAAATTTAACATTGGGGTTAGAATCAAATACATAAAATTTGGGCCAACACGAAAACCAAAATGAAGCGCACTGAAGGGGCTAAGTGTTTAGGATGTGGATCAATCAAGCTGTTGAGTCGATTTTTAGTTTAATAACAAACTAAGGGAAAGAGCATTTTAAAATAAGATATGGCCCTTGATTTAAAAAAATATACTATTTGCTAATCAAATTCCAAGAGGTAGAGGGTAGAAACTAAAGAAAAATAGTAGAGACTGTAGGCCACATAATGGCCGATATTTTAATAGTTTTCTCTTTCATATAAATGCTTCTAAATTAAGTAATTAAATAAAACTGTGTTAAACAACAACAGGGTTCGTAAGGCAGTTGTTGAGTTCTGTTGTTTTTAGAGAGAACAAAACCTTAGAGCTGCCAGTAAATCCTGAAATATGCTTTTTATACTTATAGTGTGGTGACTATAAGTAAAAGCAATCGTATTAAGTAAATTCAAATACGCACTGCAAACCCTGAACAAAATACGAAAATCGGTTATTTTAGATTAATCGGATATTTTCGATGTTTTAGAGATATTATATTCGATTTTGATTAATCGATTACAATATTATACTGTTTTCAAACACTACAACTGTTAACTAACTTGCTGTACTCTAGTCATAAATAAATAATCGATTATTGGAAAAAATGATTAGCCCCTTACCGCATACTAGCCCACATATGGCACAATGCGTGTTTAATCTATTTATAAATTGTGTGTGTTTATAAACACACTCTGTGACGCATAGATCATTACTTTGATAAACCATGGCATGGGTATAATAGCATGGAGCGATATCTAGTGAATACATTCGAAAGTTACAATACAATTTTTTAAAGGCGCACAACACCTGATAATCGTTTGAGAAATAGACATTTACAGGTTGTGTATTATCGAAAATTATTATTTGAAAAAATATTGTAAGTTGAAAGTGTAACTTTGGTGATAGATTCTTGAGGTGAGTTAGTGTTTTTTTATATATTAGATACTAGTTATTGCCATTATTTTCTCTGTGCCATATTGCCATATATGGCACAGTATGCAATTATGACATGAATATGACTGAACCAACAAATTTTTTTGATTTGGTTTTTAGGTACATGATGGATCCAATATTATTTTATAGTGAATATAAGTCAACCAATGCCTAACTAAAGCAAATAAGTCCCTTACTAAACCAAGAGGTTGACCAAAACTACCAATTGAAGGTGAGCTACAGGTGAAAAAGCATCGTGGTTCAATCACAGATTTCCCAATTCAGGAACGTTATAACCGATAAACTTGACCACTGGGTACATTGGCAAAGTCAGAGACAAAGGTGCAAGTACCCTGGATGTATTGGAAAAAGTTATACAATTCGCGAAATGTGAAGCTTTTCTTTGTATAAACAAAGACCGAAATTGTTTTTATGCAAGTCTTAATCACATGCTGTGCCATAAATGGCACATACCCTTATTTTATGTCCATATCCATTTAAAATGTAAATAATTTTTTTTTCTATTTTTCCTAATGTATATATATTATTTCCCGTCTTTAATCTTTTTTTCAAGCAAATAAAAAAAAAAACATGCGGTAAGGGGTTAAGCGAAAATAATCGAATAGAATCGAAATAATGGAAAAGAATCGAAAGGATTCGAAATAATTGAAGAGAATTGAAATAATAGAAAAGAAGAGAATCGAAACGAATTGAAAATAATCAATCGAATATAATCGATTAATTGAAAATAATCCGTTAATCGGAAATAAGCGATTAATCGATAAATCATAAAGAATCGATTGTTTTTAAGTAATCTACTAGACAAAAATAACAGATTATTTATGTTAATGATCGCCCGGCCTTAACGTTTTTAGCAATCCCTTTCGGCAACAAAATTATTTAAGTAGGAAGTTTTGCCTAATTGGATTTTTTTTATTCATTTATAGAAATCTACTGAATTCTACCAAAAGAAAATTGTCTACTAAAACTAGCCAACATAGCTGAAAACCTACCAAAAACGCAGAAATCTACCAAATGTGGCAACGTTGAATTAAAGACTCCTAGTCAGAGTGACCTTGATGAAGGACAACAACTAATCGTTGGACCAACTGTCGTGACGTAAACTATGTGCGATGCATAAAATGATACTAAAAATAGCGTGGTTTCAAACAGGCACACTGCTGTTTCACGGATCTATTAACCTGGCTTTTTTAACATTCATTCTCAGATACCTCTCGCGTTCAATCAACATATTTAACCAACAGACGCGAGCAGCCTGAGCGCAATGGGGTACCAAAAAAAGTAGAGATTAATACGTACGAAAATAATATTTAATGAAATTTAAAGGGGTGTGCACAAATGAACCAATGGATAAACCGTCCCTGGTAAAGGTTTCCTTTGCATCCAGAACTGATCTATATTAAAGGGACAATTTTACAAATATAGTAGGGTGGTTTCGCTAGTAAGCCGACCCCCATTAGTAGTTGGCCGCTTTAGTCTTTTTTTAATTATAATTTGAGTTTTCCGCCAATTTAAAACAGGTTTCTTTTTTACCAGTAAACTTCCATCTTTCTCTGACCTAAAAATAAATGCACTCCCTCTTGCGTCAAGTTTTAGTATTAACAATTCCCGCCTAAAAAGTACCTGTTTACAACTTGGGCTCGTGTAGCATTTATTGAAAGTAGTGAAAGATGCAGGTGTATATGTGAGACAAGTGAATTTAATCAAATTGTAAGTGTCTTGAAGCTGTTTTATGACTATAAAGGTAAGTGTAGACTTTAAAATAACTTATTTTTTATGTAAAAAGGAGATATTAGGTTTTTTAGGTTAAAATAAGGTGGCCGGTTATTGGAATAAAGTCTAACCTATAGTGCTAGTAGTCGGCCATGGTGGACGACTACTAGCGCATGAACCTTTTTATGTTTTTGTCTTTTTTGCATTTATTGAAGTCGGTATATATACTTTTCTTGCGGGACTACATTTAGATTTATATCAAATGATATATTGTACTAGTAGTCGGCCGGGGTCAAAGTACATACCAAAAAAGTTATTTGCTTTTTAAGTTGGTGGCCGACTACTAGAACAGTATCCAAATAAACATTTTGCTAGTCGTCGGCCACAAAATTTTTTCTCTATTTTTGTGCATATTTTCGTCTAAAATTTGCCTTTTTTGCTCTTCTAGGCCATGCTTAAACAACCAAAAAGGAAAATACACTCATATTCGGAGGAAAGCTTTGAAAAAGCATTAGATGCGGTAAAACTTGGCGCCAAAATAAGGCAAACATGCAGAGCATATGGGGTTCCGCGGGCAACGCTCCAGGATTGGATTAAGGGACGTGTTTCTAATAAACCTAGAAAGATGGGACCTGACCCGTTCTTAACGCTAAAAAATGAGAATAGGATAGTTGACGTAGTTCTTTATGATAGGTGTTATTTATTTTTATACCGGAATTTCATGTTTTTGTTCTTTTTTTTTAAATATTTTGTTTGTTTCTGTTGGTATTTTTTTCCTATATTTTCTAATTAAATTATTTAAAATAATAATTTTTATTGTTATTACCAAGTTGTTCTATTTTTACGAAGAACGTGCGATTGAGTTGGTTATAAAATAAATAGTTGCAACAAAATTTTGAAAGTCCGTATCTGAAGTAAATTGCTACAATTTACCGGCGGCCGACTACTGGATATTCCTGGCTGGCAACTAGGATATGGATGGCCGACTACTAGAAAAAAGCATATTTTCAATATAAATATTAACAAGAAATAATAGACTTTATGACAGTATTTTTTTCTGTAAACACATAAATAGACTAATAGTTGTGCTTTCTTACAATCTCAGAACTAGTATCCTAAGTTGGACAACACCTAAGCAATTTATATTTCAATTTGAATGTCATCAAAAATGGCCGACTACTAGCGAAGTGACCCTATATACAATAGTAGTAATATATGTATTTATGCAGAATGCAATAATTTATGTTTAATGTGGCATTTCAAAAGGGGCTCTATCAGAGTTGGGGGCCATTTCATATCTTAGATACCGTCCAGTGTTCACTACCATTTATTAAAGTTTTATCTTTAAATTTGCTAGGTGTTTCTAGTACCGAAGGTCAGATCAAACAATGTGTGTTATAAACAGGATGCCAATTCATATCCCGATATGTCTTTTTTTTTTAATATGTACCTATTAATCTGAGAGCTACCGGCCATTTTGAGTAACGTATTAAACACCTGGGGGTCGATTCTCGACTCGTAGGAATTTTTTCCTATAGGAATTTTTGACATTTTTCTATACATAGAAAATTTATGACATTTCCCTACATATAGGAAAGTGTCACAAATTCCTATAGGAAAATATTCCTACGAGTCGAGAATCGACCCCCAGGTCAAAACTTTGCTAATTTATATTTTAATACCAGTAACATTTTTGTTGAGTTCGCAATGTGGACTCATTTTACTATTTATTCTAACTTCACATCACTGAAATACCCCTGTTCATCAGCGCTTGAAATATATCAGGAATTTTTATTAATAGTAAATATAAACCTAAATAATACCAATAATCGATTACTGTACAATTTTATTGACAAATAATTTTTACAAATATTTAGAAGTCTCAATTGTGCTTTAACTAGCCTCTATTTTATTCACTAACATTACTAGACAAGACTTTAAACAACTTTTCACATTTCACTATTTATTTTAAATAGCGCAAAATTCTCATAAATATATTACAAAATGTACACATTATATATTTGGTAAGCTTTTTGGTCACAATAATATTTAGCGATAAGACAAATAAATTTAAATAGGAATAGGAATGTCGGTCTTGGGTGATTATTACGTGTGGACCGTTATTGTGTTTGAAAAGCAGTTCGTATATATCGTATATCTTCAGTTCAGTGGAAAACAATGTCAAAACATTCATGCAGGTTCCACAATTGGATGTCCATTCAATGGTGCAGCCCTGTACTGCTCGTTGAATGAGAACAATATGTCGTGAATCTCCGCGATTATCTCGTCTACTCAGGCATTCGATTCCTTAAAACATAATATCAATGTCATTATTAAAATAAGCATTTTAATATAATGGATCTTCAACAATAACCATTTCCCACCTAATCTGTTAAAGTCAACTATGTAAATTACCCATATCTACAATGATTTTGGTGCCGCTAAAAGTAATAGTATATTACATACCGGGGTGGGAAGAGTTTCATTCCTGTTGTGAGATTAGTCAGATCACCGAGACGCGAAGCGTCGAGGTTAATAATGATCTCGAGACAGGAATGAAACTTCCTACCGTGGTTTGTATACTATTTTATTTACAACCATCATATTTCGATCAAAGTTAATAAATCTCTGTTTCGTTCTGAACATACCTAAAATATTACATTTAACTACAAATTACCAAGCACGCGGTTTTCTCAGAATAATCAAGTAAATATACTGTTACTGTGATTACGGGGTAAACAACTGTCACCAATATAAATAAATGTCAGATAAAGCCGGATATTAAATTCGCGAATAATAAATATCAATAAGTAGTTTGTTGTATTTTAGTTCATTGTTGTTTTTTATTGTTTGTCAATAGGTATTATAAAATTTGTCAAAAAAATGTGTTATTTTTTTAAATATAAAAAATATTCCTCTAGAATAGATGAAATGAGGGCGGGAAGTAGAGGTGTGTAATGTGACACTTCCCAACGTTCAATGACGTTAGTAATAACATATATTCATACATATATGGTTGTAAATAAAAGTATTTTTTTAATGCAGCGTGTAGTTTTCGAGATTACACAAGGGTAAATAAATTAAAAAGCATTTAATTCATTTATTAAAAAACAAAAGAACATTTAATTACACATTATTTTACAGGTTAGAAACTTCTCTTTTTAGGATCCTCCCGTGTAATACTCCCACATCATATGCTCATCCCAGCGACCTTAGTATCTATCTTCCATCACCTGTAAATCTTGATGGAAATGTTCTCCTTGTTCTTCGCTATATGTTCCAAGATTTTCAGTAAACTTGTCTAAATGATTGTCCAGATAGTGTACTTTTATGCATATATTACATCCAAGATTTTTAAAGCTAATTAAGAGGTTTTGAACTAACTCTTTCGGCCTTCTGATTTCCTAAAATTTTTTTTACAACAGCAACAAAAGATTTCCAAGCCGCTGCTTCCAAATTATTCATTGAATGTATGAAATCGTTGTCTTTCATTAAAAGTCTTATCTATGGGCCATCAAAAATACCAGCTTTTAGTTTTTCATTACTTAAACCGGGAAACTTTCTTGAAAGATATACAAAATACGGACCAGTTTTATCTAATGCCTTAACATATTGATTCATAAGTCCCAATTTGATGTACAATGGAGGCAAAAAGATAAACTAAAGGCGGGTTTACAATATTCTATTTGCCAACTGTCATATTATTTCTCAAAGGCCAATCTTTCTTGATCCAGTGATCTTTTTTTTTGCTTTGCTGTCCCTTAAACATATGAAGCATGGATATTTAGTGTAGTGTACCCACTTTGTTGACCTAATAGAAAGTTAACCATTTTTAAATCGACACACCCATTGGTGCTCTAAGTATTTAAGTTTTTTTAAAACAAGATCCACGTTTTGATACTCCTCTTTGAATTTCGTTGAATGAGCGATAGGCACAGCTGCATGTTTATTACCAATATCTAGTAAAACACATTTTAAACTTCGCTTAGAGCTGTCCATAAACAATCTCCATTCTTCAGCTGCTTTGTACCTTGAGAGCCCCAGTTTCATTAGAAGGCCATCAATGTTATTACAATAAACTATATCATTTTCTGAGCTAAAAAATGGAAGACATTCTTTTTCGCTAACACGATAAAATGTTATTTTTGTACCTTGAGATAACAAATTTCTTTCTTTGAGTCTAGATATGCTAGTAGCTCAGATCGCTCTTTCGAAAGGTCAAGGTCTCTAATCAAATCACTGAAATTATCTTAAGAAAAAAGTGAAGGCGCTGTTGACACTTAAAAATCACTATCACGTTCATCAGAAAAAACTTCCACCATCTCTGTGTCCGACAAATCTGATAGATCTGAAAGATCTTGACTCATGGGAGATGGTACGTCATTTGAACACAGTCGAGGTCTTTTAGCAGATGGTATATCAGGATTCGTCGTTGTACAGTCAAAACCTCGTAACTCATATTTTGGCTTGACCGAATGTATTTTTTTTTTTTATTTTTTAGAGAGATAATTTTAAAAATGTAAATCTTTAACTATTTGGCATTTAGTTGACTTGCCTTTTTCTACTACATAAAAAAGCTACTTTTACAAAAAAAAAAGTTTTTAGTGTTTCCTGAAAACCTGGTAATTTTATGATACGAGGTTTTGACTTACGACGACGATATGTAATTTTTCTTTTGTTTATACCATGTAATTCTACAACACAAAAATAACAGTCATCAATGTGATTTTTCGGTTCTGCCCAAATCATTGACACACTATACTTTAATTGATTACGTTTACCGTTTTTCCACTGTCTTAAATGTTCACTACACAACTTGCACACAATGTTTGGAACCCACGGTTTGTTCAAAGCCTTCATCTCTATATAAAAGTAATCAACGTATGTCTTCTTCACTGAATCTGTTATAGGTTTTCTAAACTTTTTCACTACATAATCACCACAAATGTAACAAAATGTATTTGGATTATTTACACCTTTTCGACGACAGCATATCGATATTATTAATTAAAAAAAGAAATTAATTGATTATAATGACATTAATACATTTTTTGGGTTATCAATCGATACAAACCTGAATGCTTAGACTCCTGAATGTAGCTTCAAGATTTTGACAGCTTCGCACGACATCTTGCGGGTTAATTAACCAAATTATAACATAGAATTAGCGGCACCAAACAATTTTGTTTTTTTTTTTTTGTAGACTTTTTTGAAAAGCTTTCTTCTGTAGTGTTGACCACATATTTTAGAAACGTTATCATCTCTAAAATGCTGAGAACAAATTGTGACTCTTTTTTTAGGGTTTCAATCAGACACCTAAATCGTAAACATGTATGAAATTTTTGTCATAACACTCATTTCAACTGGAAATCTGTAGAAGCTTACTTCCCTGGAACTGCCACATCTTTTTGTAAAGCAGCTTTTTGTAAAGCACTATTGGCTGATACTGATAAATAAACTTAACGATATTAAAAAAAAAACGAAAGTGAAAGAATTAATCGCTAAGACCTATTCAAAAAATTAAACATTACGTGAAACACAGAAATTAGACAATAATAAAATAAAAAAAAAAACGAAATGAACACAATAGTCAAGACAACAATAATAGCAAAACAAGAAAGTATATTTGTTTTATAGGAAAATCTATGATCAAAACAAAGAAACAAGACCTGAACTTTGCGGAATCAAATACTGTTCATTCTACTTGTACCACATTGTAGGCCTAATAAGTAGATCTGTTTCTGTTTTTATAATATAAATATTGTAGGACAAACGATAATTGTAGTTTTCGACAAACCAAACGAACATTAGAAAAGTGCGGCCAACTTAACCTGACTACTATTTTCTTCTAGTCTCAGTGACCCCTTTATCCATTTACTGGGTCTATGTTGCGACCCCTTAGATATACCAGCCCTAATGAAAATAACCGTTCTTAGTAGCACTGCTGTCAAATAGGTTAGTGACATTGTTTTACTGTTACTACAGAAGTTATTTAATGTTAATTTTAGCTAACTGATGGAATACGGGTATTGTTGAAGACTGTACATTTAATAGTTAAAAGTAAATATGCACGTAAGTTTCGTCAAAGAGCAACTAAAGATGGGTAAGTACGCCATTTTGTTTGAGCCGCCTTGGTCGCCATGTCTGGTGGTAGACTTACCGATAGATTAAAGAAACAAAGTGGTTGTTTACCTTTAAATTTTCGAAATAATGCATAATCTGATGATAGTCCATATCCAAAGGTAATTGTTCTAAGCTGGGCAAATCCGAAGATTTATTTTTGTTTTCGTGATTACCATTTATACCCATCATCGAGTTTCCCACGATAGTTGCCACTTTCACTTCGGCTCGTCTATGATAACCTAAAATAAATTATCGGAATTAACATTTTCTAAACAATGTATGACTTCATTTTACAAAACTGTGTTTTATGGACACAGATGAGGCTTAAAGATAGAGATATTTCAAGAAATAAAACGAGAGTCGCCAGTTTGCCTACAACAACCACCCTACTACATTAGTGATGACGTAATTTGGGTGTCAAACAAAGTTGGCAGTATCTTGGTTAATTTTTTGCGTTTATTACAGAATTGTAGCCTACCGAATGCACTTAAGCAACTTCCAGTGAAGCAAACTGCCTAAAACTGAATTAAAAATTTAAAATTTTACAAATAAAAAATAAAATATAGGTGTAATTATTGGTTTGAAATAAAGAACAAACAAGACTTATCTTCCCATTAAAGCCGGTAGGCTGAGCATAGGCAATATAAGTATATCTTTCTTTTTTTCATTTCCTATCTCTTACACAAATTAACCAATACAGAAAAGTAAAAAATAAAGTAAATTAAAAATATAAATATTATTTAAACACCTAGTAATAATTCTAATAAACAACTGTCATCCAAGTTCATAATATATTTTTTAAAAATGCCTTTTACCATGTCCATTGAATTCAGAGTTAATAAGTACGTTTTGTATATATCCGATAAAAAATTAAATATCCTATCCATTATGTAATTCAAACACCGTTGTCCTATTGCTTTCTTAGTCATTTTTGTTTGAACGTTGTGTTTTTGCTTAATTCTTGTGTCATACTTATGTTCTATACTTTTGAGCAAGTATTTGTGTTTGTGAGTATATATAATCACCGAGTACATATAAAGCTTCCTAATACTCATAACGTAACTTTCGACGAAGAGAAGATCTGATGGGTAAGTATTTATTTTATTATAAATAATTTTTAATATTTTCTTTTGCAAGACTTCAATTTTTTGTAAGTAAGTTGATAAAACACCCCCCCATGAAAGGATCCCATAACGTAATCGAGATTCTATAAGTGCAAAATAGATTATTTTAAGATGAGGTATATCCAAAATTGATCGTAGGAATCTAAATTGTGGTAAAAGGCAACGCAAACATTTTGCAATATTTTCTATATGTTTACTCCAGTTAAGATGAGTATATTTTTAATTCAACCCGAAAATATTAATTTCTTCCTTTTTACGATTCAACAATATACCATAAAAAAGTAAAATTATGTGTCAATATGCGGGCATTCGCATTTATATATACCATCTCTTAATATTGAAACACAATATACTATTAATGCTTCCAAATTGGAAAAGGTTGCGTGCTTAACTTATAGTTGAGGAAAAATATAAATATAGATATTTGTTAAAACTCGCAGATTGGAAGAGGTATTCAATATCTGCCCCCCATATGGGCCTTATGAGATTGCTTAACTTCTCATTGTCTTACTTTTACAAAGAAGAAATCTAAAAATTGAAACCTCGAAAATAACCTGACCAAGAAACTGTCCAAGTTGTCTTGCCTACAGCCTTAACATGACTTGGCCGAGTTTATTCAGAAAATAATCCTTAAAGAACCAATCATTTACCAATATATCTTTTCGCTGTCTGAAAAATGCTATATTAAATCTTTGGGAAGGCCTACTCTCGATTTAAAACTTACTCTGATTGTTCTTAAATCCCTGATTGTTCTTTCTTCACTTTTTTTTTAAAGAATTGATTATTCATTTTATTTTCACACCCTTCTGTTCTATTAGAATGTAAAATTTATTAACTTACCATTACTACTAGGACTATTTAAATACTGTACAAACTCGGGTCTGTCCTCTGTTTTAAGAATTTCTTGTAATTCATCGTCATTATCAAATATAGTTCTGGAATGTCTTTCATCTTGTGTTGTATCTTCACATTTTTTTGCCGCGAATTCGCCTGATGATCTACAATCAAAAATACTAGAGGAAACTATTGTTGCCAACATTTTCACCCGGAGTCTCCGGGTTTGGCGATCATTCTCTGGGCTCCGGGTTTAGATTAAAATTCTTCGGACTTGGGGGCGCGAAACTGAAATAATCGCAGGTAAGGACTAGCAGGTGGATGGTGATTTGAAATGTAAAGAGCCAAAAAAGGACTATTGTAACTAATAATGTTGGTAACTCTAGAGCAGCTGTACTCAACCTTTTTTTCTTTCGGGCCACATAAATCTGTTATGCTATACGGGCCACAATATTTTTAGGTGATAACTAGAGTTGCCACCTCCGCTTTAAATATTTTCTAACAAAAAAAGGTCAAAAGAGAAAGGTCAGAAGAAAAAAAGTCAAAAAAAGGTCAAAAGAAAAAGGTCAAAAAAAGGTCTTCATATTGTTTTAGTTTACATAGGTACTATCCAAAAAAAAGGTCCTCATGTTGTTTTAGTTGTTATAATAATAAGCTTTGAAAAGTCGCAAGGATAGGACTGTCAACCATTTCAATTACTAATAATCGTGTTTGGGGCTGCACAAAACGGCTGAGAGGGCCGCATGCGGCCCGCGGGCTGCAGGTTGAGTATGGCTGCTCTAGAGGAAACACATGAAGCGTCAAAGTTAATTGTTCGCCAAGATTTTCAATATCTAAGTATATAATAATAGTAATAATATAATAATAATAGTATAAAACTGCATCTGTCAACACCAGAGTTGACAGAAATGTTTGTCTATTAATGGAAATTCGACGTTAAATTCATTAGCAATTTCCATAAGGGCATCGGGCCTCACGTTTCTGCTCTTATTTATAGTTTTTGTTTTTAGAATCCCATAGATTTGTTCTCACTTTGTATGCCTCAATAAAGGCTATGACTTTATCTTGTTTCCATTCCATTTCTCCAACGAAAACACAACTACAATGTTAACAAGGCAAGACGTTACTGAGTACTTAGCATTCAGTACTAACAGTTTGTCGAATGTCGAACGTCGTAAACATGTCCACACACTAAAGTCGATCGACTGCTCTTTCATGTTTACCGACAGGAGATGGAAAATAAATTGAAATGTCGATCAATTTATTTTGTCGATCTACACCGTCGATTGCCGCGTACACACAAAGTCGACAACGTCGATAGACAGAATCGATCGACAGTGTTGATTCGGTGAGGACGCACCCTAAGAGATAGAAGATGTCTTCATTGGAATATGAAATACTTGCTGGGTTCAGGTGTTCTTTTATTTTCAGAGCCGGTTTAGGAATTATAGACCTATGTCTAAGTTTAAACAAGTATAATAATTGCAAACAATAAATTTACCTATGAAATCCAATTTTATCGGAAGACTTGCTTTCGGAATCCCGATTTTTTTCGTGAAACATGGATTCTACAGACCCCGTCGTTTCTATATTGCGATGAGGTGGTACCGGAGGTCTGTAATCGTCATTTGATTTCTGCACTTTCGACGGCGGACTATTCGAAATGGGAGGTGGAGGTTTCGGTTTGTCCCTAAAAAACAAACGGTTCGATATGTGCTATATATTATAAAATTATAATTTTATCGCTATTTTTTATAGAGGCCATCGTCAGGTAGAAGTAGACTAGTGATGCAATACCGGCTTCTTCTCCTGTATACATCTAGTTTATCCAATTTGAATAATAAACGGCACAATATTGGTTTCAACAGAATGTAATTAATGAATTATTTGTGTGAAAAATAGTAATTTTCGAGTAATCAAATTAAAGAAATAGGAACAGAAAAGGAAAGACAATAGATGAGAGGAACAGTGTTCCTTAAGCTATACAAGCTTTTACTTAAATTAGGACAGTTCTATTTTAAAAACTAACAGTATTTTCGATATCATAACATACATACCACGCTACCAAATCTTCTGTACCACCCTCCACATTATTTACACTCCAACCGATTTCTTTGCCTGATGGATTAGTTTTGACCCCGCTGTTTCTGGAACAAGTCGGTTTTTGGTTCGACCCGGTGAAGCTGACAGGCAAAGAATCATCGGGTTCGCTGTAATTGGTGTTGAGAGGATTTGAAATGATACGCATGTTATTGGCCGAACTATTGGTTGGGGCAGTAATGGTGGCTCTTCCCAGCCATACCCAGTCGTGAACGTTTGTCGTGTATTCTTGCGGTTTTTGTGAATCATTGGTAATACGATAACCAATTGACGGTGCTTTGCTCGGTTGTGTATGATCTTTCGCGGTCACAGCTGGATTGTATTTGGATGCGTAGACTACACAAGATACGACGAATACCTGAAATGAAAATTTTGTTTATCATATTGCGTTCAGGAGCGAAGAGGTGGTATATAATGATTATGAACTGAAGATAACCAGGCTATGATCCAGGACAAAATGGATTTCAAAGAAATCTTTAACATATATTTGAATTTAAAACATATAATTTAGTACGCCACTGGCACACTGACACTTATATAACTTTTTCTACACCCGTATTATAATAATGCACTTATATGCCCATAATCCGTTTCATAATGATACCCATTATGATACAGATTTTTCATTATGATACAGATTTTTAATCAATAGAAACCTACAATTTTTCAATCAAGCATGATGTTTGACGTTTGTCCTAAATTCCTATGTAATTGTTTTAGTTGTCAAAACGTATTAAATTTTCGTAGATAGCTAAACTTCGATAATTATAATATTAAAATGTCTGATATCAGCGATATAGAACACTCCTCCACACATATAGGAGAAAGGAGAAAATGCAGTACAAAATATTTTGCCCCAAAAATCTGTGGTAATACCAGTACCCAAGGTAATACCATTAATTACAATTTTGTAGAATTTTTTATAGAAATACGAGTAATTACTGTTATTGTGTTCAATACCAATATAAATAGAATATTTATAGGTCTTGATTATTTATCGGGTGTAGAAAAAATAGCGTATGCAACTCTCATGTAATGGTTATTAAAACACTCGCATAAACCATACGAAACTCGCCTTTGGCTCGTTTCGTATCCCGGTTAATGCTCGTGTATTAATAACCATCATTACATGATCGTTGCATAATATACTATTCTCGAAGGTGTTATGCCATTTTAGGCACAAGCCACAAATTGTTAGTAGACGCTGTCACGTGAGAGCAATACCTCGCAGATGATTGGTTGATTATATCAGAGCAGCCAGCCGCTTGCTCTAAGCGTAACGTTGGTAACTCAGAATATTTTTCTCACCGCAACAGGCAACTTCGTCCAACGACTTGCCCACGCTATGTTGAAAATTATTGTATTATTACTTCAAACGTTAAATACATACTATGGTACATTTTCTTTAATTGATTGTATTTTAATAAAAATAATAAAAAATGTAATACGTTCTGTTCAAAAATGAAAAACATTTTTTAACAAGATAGGGGAGAGTTGGACAAAACAGGATAGTCGGATAAAACGGGATATCGGCCAATATTTATGAATACGCAGCGCTATCTAACGAGTCGTGGCGTTAATCACTATAAATAACGTTTGCTTGAATGTAGGAAGTGTTTATTCTCATTAACTGCTGTTCAGTAGTGAGTGACAACGGCAGTTTGAAAAAGTGAGGTTATACTATTTAGTTTTATTAGCGGTTAATTTAGTGTTTTTTATTTTAAACAAGCAAAATAAATAACGGTGATTATTTTTTATGATTTTGTAGATAATTGACATTTGTGATTATGACAACTATTTTTTTTGTGAAAAACTTTGAAAAGCATTTTGGAATGTGCAGTTGGGCAAAATGGGATACCAAGCGGTCGGATAAAAATGGATACTATCCCGTTTTGTCCAACCAAGAAACTATATAGATTTTCACGAGAAATTTAAACTTTACTTTTGTTACAGGCTTGTTAAAAGATGGGAAAATATAAAAGAAAAACTGAACGTCAGTCTTGGAATGAGGAAAGTATGCGCCAGGCGGTGGAAGAGGTTCGCGAAGGAAGAATGGGGTATCTTAAGGCTTCGAAACAATTTGGGGTACCTCGGACAACTATTGAAGCCAGAGTAAAAAAAATTAAAAATGGGACTCTCGAACGAGAGAACTCAGCAAAAAAGGGACTAGGGCGTCACAGACCGGTTTTCTCTATGGAGCAAGAAGAAGAGTTGGTGCGACACATTTTGTCTATGGAATCACGACTGTTTGGTTTTAGTTTGAATGACTTTCGAAGTTTGGCCTTTCAGTTAGCTCAACGCAATGGCTTAGCTAATCAATTTAACAGAGACAAAAAAATGGCCGGTAAAGCTTGGTTATACAGTTTTCTAAAGAAACATCCAAAAGTTAAACTTCGCACCCCTGAGCCAACATCACTTGCTAGAGCCATGGGTTTTAATAGACCTGCCGTACAAAAATATTTTTCGTTGCTATCTGATGTGCTTGAAAAATATAAAATACCACCCGAACGGATTTACAACGTCGACGAGACGGGTATAATGACAGTGCCAAAGAAAAGATCGAAATGCTTATTGTTGCGTGGGAAAAGGCAAGTTGGGTGTATATCTTCAGCTGAACGCGGCGTTCTTGTCACCGTGGAAATTTGCATGAGTGCTACTGGTGTATTTATGCCGCCTACGTTCATTTTTCCTAGATCCAGAGCTAAGCCGGAGCTGCTAGATGATGCAAAAAGAGATTTTTTTCGAACTGGTTCAATCAATTTATTGAGTTTTCCAAGCCCTCCAAAGAACATCCTGTCCTCTTACTTTTGGACGGACATACGACCCACACAAAAAACATTATAGACGTTATAGAAAAAGCTAGAGTTAGCGGTGTTGTAATGCTCTGCTTTTCACCGCATACCACGCATCGTTTACAACCGCTAGACGTCAATTTCATGTCACCACTTAGCTCATAATATACGTCAGAAGTTCAAAAATGGATGCAGCAACATCCAGGTCGACCAGTTACGATATCCCAAATAGGCAAGCTTTTCGGTAATGCATATATGAAAGCTGCTAGCATCCAAACAGCTGTGAATGGTTTTAGAAAGACAGGCATTCAACCTTTCAATCCAGAAATATTTGAATGAGTTTTTTAAATGAAGCCGGTAAATTTATTATGTACACACCTCCAGAAAAACCAGAGCTGGTTCTTACATTCACCAGTCGCAGGTATTTTTAAATATGTGAGAGAATAAGTCAGTCAAACTCTCTCAATGGAAAAAAGTACAGTTTCGTGAAAAACTTCAAAAATATAGAGCTGAGTTGCAATAAAGAATGAAGCTAAGAATCAAGTGTCTGTAACTGAAAGGATGCCATTCAATGGTATAATGATGGTTTCAAAACTACAAAAGGAACTGCACTATTTACGCAAAAAGTTTGGGTACATGCCCAAACTTCTTCTAGGTTTCATCTTCCAAGTTCTAATGAAGAAATGAATGGATCGAACAAATTTTTTCCCTTCAGTTTTTTTTTAACAAATAAAAGCTGCTTATTAATAACGGAAACTCGTTATAAATTCTATAAATCTGATTTTAAAAATTCAAACAAAAAGGAATTTTGAATAGATAAAATTCCAACATACTTCCTCACGGAAAATTTCGAATGATTAAAGCAACATCTTTAATCTTATATTATCTACGAACATTTATCCAACGGTTTGGAAAACGACTTTAGTTACACTTATTTTTAAATTTGACATTCAACTAGACGTTGAAAATTAGAGACCTATATCCTTAATAATATGTGTCCATTAAAATTATTTGAACAAATTTATTTAAAATGACATAATTACCTATATATAAAAGTATATTGAGTCAACATTTTGTTATTAGAAAGTCAACCACTTCAAATTGATTTATGTCAATTATGCATATTAAACTTTGGAAAATTAATATCAGTTAAATATGGTGTATACAAATGTTTAAAAAAACATTTGACAAAGGTCCCAGATAGCCCACTGACGTCACCACGACGTCATTTTTTGCTGATAATTAGTCTCAGATGTCACATCATCTAAAAATGACGTCTCAGAGACGTCATAGATGTTACCCGCATCTGTATTTTGGATTAGCAAAACCTATGTTCGAACAGCAGTGAACATATGGATAACCACTAAAAACCAAACTCACTGACAACAGATTAGGGTACACAGAAATCAGTAAGCTCATGCTAAGGAGACCAAATTCAGGCGTGGCTATATGACACTACAAAATCAAAGACTATTTCCTTGCCACCTTGGTGACAGAAGGAGTCACGGAGACTCGAAGGCGAAAAAGAGGAGCTAAAGGAGTAACGTAGGATCATGTTCGGTTGGAGGAGACGTTACAGAAGCGACTGGAGACTCGAACGCGAAAAAGCTGAGCCGAAAGAGCGACAGATCTTTAAAAAAAAAATTCAAATCGGATTTTATAGAGATATTTCCATCTTACGCTATACATAAAAAAATGACTTACCAATATAGCACAGCAGAAAGCAGTTAGCAGTACATACATGCTAATTTCAAGAGTAACGGAATGCCCTGATTTAGTGTTTTGATATTGCCTAGCTTGCACGCTAGGTTCATCTTCCGAATCAGACTGAACTGCGGGACCTAAGAGGAAAACATTTTAAATACCTTCTTGTACAGTTATAAGTTTCACGATCGTACTTTTAAGAATATACTGATGCTCTAACTCTCTTCCTTTGGAATTTACAAAATTGCCGCCATCATTTTGTAGTATATCAGGACGTTGCAAATCGAAAGTATTGAAATCGACTGTAATACTTGCAGCCGCCGTTGCTAGTGGACCCATTGATTTTGTCTTGGGTCTCCCAACATTTCTGCATTCTTCTGCCAGTAAAAGCGTCACCTAAAAATAACATCCGTACTGTTAATAACAATTCTATTCATAGTGTTCAATGTATTCCCATGTCTTTACCTGTAAAAGATCTCCACTTCCCTCTCCAACGGCTATAACTCGTGGATGGTGGGAAGCAACCATTGGAGCGAAAGCCACAACGTCTGGATCTAAGCTTTCGACGACAAGATGATAGTTGCTCTCTATGATATCTCTTAGAGGCGTCTTTTGTCCATCGGAAAATTCTAAATCTATGTCAAGAAGTCCTTCCTGTCAAAAATATTACTGTTTTTAACCATTATCATTGGTTGAAAATATTTATAAATTTGGCAACCTAACTAATAGCAACTTTTTGTCCAATTATAAGGATGCATCACGATACACAAATACCGGTATGTTCCTGCTTGGTTCCTGCGCATGTTAGCTCTATCCTTGTCACATGATATGACGTCACGTGACATAAAATCCGACGCATCTACTAAAGGGGCGTTTGATTTGAAACTCGATCGAGCGAGCGTCGAGGAGACAGAGAAGTGATGACGTCACAATAGAGCATTGAATCAAATCAAATAAAACAGAGTAAAAAACATAACCTCGCTTTTTGTGATTCTTGTTTCTGGTTTGTATGTAAAAATAGTGAGCAAAAAGTAAAGAAAATGGAAAAACTTTTAATAATAAAGGGTAATGGCCCTGAAATGCAGCATTTACCACAAATGCCCGCTTCGCTCTCCTACTTCATGACTGTGATTACTGGTGATTAGATCTGGACAGAAAAAATGTATTTTCCAAACACACATTTTGTGTTTTTTTATGATGAATAATTTTAGCTATAAGACAAAAGCGGCTAAATAATTTGTTGACTTCTTGTCTGGTCTTTAATTTTGAGATTCAAATTTGTTTGTAAGTTAACTAAAAAGAGATAGGTAGAGACAAAGACAAATTTCTCCCTCTTCTCGATCTTTCTGCTCTGAGAACATCGAGCTCGCTCTATGTTCTCGCTCCAAAGCGAAACAACCACTTTAGGGATCTCTCGGAGTGTCAATTCAAACACTTTTGAAGCGCTCGGAGATCTCCGATGATCAAATCAAACGCACCAATAGATAAATACAAGTAACGAGACGTTTTCGATAATAAAAAACTGTAACATTACTTTATTGTTAAAGGTTTTGTTTTTTATGAAGTAAAAGTAGAAAAGTTATTGTATGAGTACAAATATTTCATAAATTTTATAAACATTTAGTTCATTTATTATTGTAACTAAAACAAGATAAAGTACAATGAGTAAATTCTGTTTGCCTTATGCCACGTTACGTCATGCGTGGAAAGTACGAAATTCGGTAGAATTAGTAGCATACCGGTATTTGTGTATCGTGAGGATGCATGAAAAATATATAAATAATATTTTTAAGTGCCAACAGAAAAATCAATAACCAATATTTAAAAATTAGGATGATAGAAGTTCGAGTTTAATAAATAACACCGAAAATGATAGCTAAAATAACCCAATTTAATTAAATTATTAAACGAAAAATCGACTTAAGTCGTAATCTTACCTGATACTGTGCTGTTAATTTTCTTGTTATGCCCGTTTCAGCAACATACACGTTTTCCAAAGACGTGTCAGGAGAAATGTTAAGTTGAAGGCCGGAAATCACTTGGACGTAGAGTTTAGTCAGCCCAACTTTATCGTTACCCACTCGAATCTCCTTCGAACCATATACTCTAGAGGTTATTGGAGATAACACCTAAAAGATGTATTAAAATAATGTTTGGATGATTGTTAATGACCCAACAAATAATCAATTGCCGGGAAACTGATGGCCCATTGTTGAGATTGATAGAGAGATGACCATGTTGAAAGGTCATTTGTAACGGGGGACGTAGAATATGAAAACTGTGCACGTATTAAGAAAATTAAACTTTAATGTGTGAAATAATAGGAACAGAAATATGAATAATATTAATAATATGTATTGTCGATCAGTATCGATCGCGGTCAACCTCACTATATTGTCTGTCACTCGCTAGGCGGCAGCACTACGCAGGCATGGGTTTACGCGAGCTGTTAGCAGAAAACAGGACAGGTACTAGGGGTCGTGTTACACAATATATTTTCATGGTTCGTGGGCCATCAATCATTAAATTGATGTTGGCCTTGCATTTTGGGACAGTCACTTGCCCATCTCATATGTTTCTGATTTTTTAGCACACATATAATTTTACATAATATCTACAAAATACAAATGGGCTTTGACTAAGAGAAACAAGAAGGTTGGAATTAATCGATGAAAGTGTATTTTTGAACCATTTATAACCTTTTCGAAATACATTTTTTGAAAGTGGCTGAATATTCATAAAGACAAGATCAATTCAGTACACTGTTTTAATTATTTATTAAACTAGAATCATCATTGAAATGATCAGCAATTCAAACATCCTTTTCTCAAAGCCCAAACTAAACCTATATTTTCCAATAAACTGTGGAAATATTAAAAATAGCCAATATTGGGCCTGCAGTCAGCCATTGAAGGCCCAGTAACTAGTATTGATGGCAAAATGACTGTGGCCCGACTGTCGGTCGTAGTGACCTATATATTTGTAGGTAAAAGTTAAAAGACTATCATTATAATAATTAAAGGCAGATAGTTTTTGGGCCATTATTTCATCGTACCAAAATGTTTTGTTGGGAAATAAAATATCATTTCATACAAAGAATAAATAATAAATCTAATACATAAATAATAATTTTAGTCATGAGACATAAATATAAATATTTTAAAATTAATAATACACAAAAAGATACACAACTTTTAATAATTGATAATTTTGGTATGACTTTTTTTGAGATTTGTGAAAGCTTTTCAAAAAACATCACAATTAATACAATAAATATTGACATTATTACACATAACAAAAATGTTATGTTTTGCACGAAAAAAAAAATTTTCACATCTATATAAAGAAAATAAATTTGAACCTTTTGGAAAACACAGTCCGGAGTAATAATGTTTCTATATTTTTCCAACCAACCAAATATTGTATGATTGCTACAATTTAAAATTAATTGTAATGTATGAAAATAGCATTTAAGGTAGTTCACTCGTAAAATGGCTTTTCTTAAGAATTCAATAAAATTGAAATATAAGGTTAATGAAAGTGCCGTTTACGTAACTAAAAAAAATTAAATTTTTTTTAACCATCTGTGAAACGTGATATTAACAATCAAAATGTGCATAATTAACACTCTTCAAGCCTGTCATGTATACTAGCAATGCATTTATTTCAAGATATCTTGAAAACAGTTCGAATCATATTTTTTAAAAACTAATGTAATGTAAAAAGATGTAGATTTTTAAAATAAAAATATGTTTAAAGCATTCGACGCGTAGTTGCGTAAAATGATTACAACTTGGCAACACTGTAATCGCTACACCTAACAAAATAACACTCGATCAGCTAAGAGGTTGTTATAAACTCCCGACGTGTTCTTGAAAAATTAATTCGTCCACTGTATTTGAGAACTGGAATCAGTGGTTCTGTTTGAACCAAAACAAACCCTTAAAATTAGTACGAGGAAGTCACACATTTCTATAGCACACCATTCATATATTTGCGAGGTTGCCGGAAGGATTGTATTGAAATTATAACATCCATATACAGGGTGTCCGGGAAAATATGGGAGGTCTCTCGGAGTCAGATAGAACATTAAAAAATAAGATGATAAGTTCCCATACATTTTTTTCCTAGCGGCCTTCCCTACGTAGATACGGCCTCCAAAAGGACGCCACTGGAAATCAATTTTTCTTGAATAACTTTCAAATTACGTAATAAAATTTAATGAAAATTTAATATGATAAACAGTAGCAAGAACCTCTTAAAATACTTCCCTTAAAACATAATTACTTTTTTTAGTTTACCAGGAACGAACTAGGTTGTACATTTAAATGCTTACATTTTTAACACCCTGTATGATAAGGAGTTAAAAAAAATTAATTTATTTTTTTTAACTCCTTACAAATAAATTTATTTTTTTAACTCCTTATCATACTGGGTGTTAAAAATGTAAGCATTAAAATGTTCAACCTAGTCCGTCCCTGGTAAACTAAACAAGCTAATTATGTTTTAAGGGCAGTATTTTAAGAGGTTCTTACTACTGTTTATCATATTAAATTTTCATTAAATTACATGTATTTTGTAGTCTCTTACAAAAATAAAATTGATTAGCATTGAGGATCTTGAACTTTTGGTATTCGCTGTTATGCGATATTTTTATGTACGACTGTCGCGAGTGAACTACCTTTAAAGGAAACGAAAATGTACAAAGCCGGTACTGTCTGAACAGAACTAGACAAGCCAAAAAGGATTGATACTGGTAGTAATCATGTGTGAGTTAAGGTTGTAGGTGAAGAAATTAAATCTTCTGTTTAGGTAAATAAATCTGAAATTTCTAGAACTTACTTGTACTTCAGTTCTACCGACGCTCCTTCCCTGCAAAATCCTCCCGTGTAAACTTGCAATTCTCGGATCACTAACTCGTAACCAAGGCAATACAAGATCCGTGATTCTCAATAAGGTTCTTCTGTTGATCAAGTAACTAGTTCGGCCTGAAGTGTGATCAGACGCCAAAAAATGTGCGTATACTTCTACCGAAGTTTGTTGGTATCTGAGTTTACAAACAGGCTTTTCGTTGACTGTCATACCTTCGTCTATCGTAGGAAGACTCCAGTTGGTGTCAAAGGACCGCTTTTTTCTATTTTTCGATTTCGATAAACTTGAAAAAAAACAACGATCGTTATATGGTAGAATCGGAGGAGAGTTAAAAAACGTAAGCATTTTATAGATAAAATTGTAGTTTTTAAGTCCAAAAATCATACTGTAGATAAGTGAGATTTTCTCGATAAAAATATATATTTTAAAAATAATAATTCTCCTTAAATTTATATTAAAAAATCCATTTTTTTATGTATTCTGTTGGGTACAATACATTTGTAAAATATTCTTAAGAACGTGAACTGGCAACGCTGTGCCTACCCGATGAGTCGCTTTTCTCTTTTTTTGCGTCGGCGCGGCTAGACACGTCGAGGTGCGTAGACCATTCGCGACAGATTTGGAATGTTTTGGAAAATATTGGGGAATTCATATGAGCAAGCATTGCTAGCTCGATTCAGTCAGTCGATTGATAATAATTTATGACTAGTGAAATTAAACTCGGCGCCTCATATAAATAAACAGTGATATAAATTAGTTAATGTAGTATAATTGGTGTTATATTAAGTAAGTTTGACTTGTTTGAAATTCAACCCTATTTATTTGGGTTAAACCATCCAACAGTATAAAACCAATTACAGGATGGGCACAAAAATAGTTACATTAATAGTATAATGTACATCATAAAAATAATAATAAAATATTAAATATTAATAATAGCATAAATATATACATATAAACAAAAAATAGTTTAATAAACGTTTTAACCATCATATGATAATTAACTCAATCCACAACTATGCGTTTTATTTCTTTAATTGAAATAGAAAATAAATCAACATCATTTTGAAGTTCACAAAAATTTTGATACATAAAATACATTGGAGAAAATTTTAAAATATTTGTCCTGGGAGTCTGAAAATAGAAATACAAAGGGGAGCGAGTTACTGGTACTAGGAACATTAAACATTATTAGTAGACGAAGTAGTTCGGGACAGTCAATTTTATAGTTTAATAATTTGTAAACCCTTGGTTATGACCGAAGCCGCTGCACTTATAACATAATGTGATATCTATAGCATCAAATACTGAACATACATTGTAGCCAACAAAAATACTTTGAAGAGACATTGCTTTCACATAAGTTTCTGCATCAATTTCTAGAGTTGCTTGATACATCTTATCATTTTTCTTGGTAATCCAAATTTTCACAATTCTGCAAACTCTGGACGACTGGATGACATCATTTTAGTACTTAAGTAACGAAATAAATTCATCAGGTTCATGCTTCTCAATCATTCTAATTTTCGGATTTTCACTTTTAATTTCTTTTACTTCGTAATCATCTGATAATTTTGCGTTAGCTACAACTTTAAATTTAGATGCGTCTTCATTCTTACTACACCCAACAAGTATTCCGCCATCTCCATATTCTTAAATTTTATATTTAATTTAGTAGGATTAATATTGCTCATAATATCATCATCCTTTGTTTGAATATTATTTTGTGTAGCATCCTTAGGTTTGATAACTACAATCGATTGACATGTCGCTTGAGCCACTTGCGAATAAATGGACTTATTTAAATCAAAAGGAGGTATATTGCTAATATTTTCTTTGGTCATTTTAAAAATTTCTTCTTTAGCTTCAGTGAATAGTTTCTACATATTTATTACCTATCACCTCTTTTATCTTAGTATCCATAGTGTGCGAAAAATGCTTATTAAAATCAGTAACAGCAGGATAACATTCCTGACAATACCATAGAAGGCCATAAGTTTTAGTATGTTTGGCAACGTCCGAAGGAACTCCAACATAACTGGTATGAAAAAACCAGCACATGAAATACCGTGTTTTGTTCGGTTTATCGCAGTGTCACAAGATTCTCAGTTATTGTTTATCAAAGTAACTACTGTATTTAGGAATTAATGTATAAAATTAAAAACGCATATACCATCTTGTAGATATCTCCAGATCATGCGGTATTAATAGATTACTATGTTTTAATTAATAACCAGTAGAAATTAATCACTTTCGCGGAGCAACACACACCATGCTACGACGACGATATACCTATGAATGAAGCCAAGTAAATACTCCTCTTAAAGTAAAAAAGATACACGAGTTTTATTTATTTTATCTTTTACACAAGATCAATCGTAATTTAACCCAGAATTTTATCTAAGAAACCCAAAGAAATGATATAGAGAAGCTCGAAAAAACTCTACTAATAATTATAAAATAGCGGCATTATTATTTACCTTGGTAAATAATCAGGCACTTTCCAAGACTTTAATTGCGATAATCTAGTATCAGCCACTACTAATTCTAATGGAAATTCTGGCATCCAAACTGTAAACTGTGCTATTCCAGTAAAAGTACCGTATTTCACAATGACAGAACCATTCACCGATCCTCTAGCTTCACTGCCGTCAACGTAAACTGAGCCACAAGATGAGGATACCTGAAAAATTTTATTGCAAGTTCAATTCTGTTATTTTTCTATAATTATTCTCTTCTCCAGTGGCTTCCAGAGTAAGCAACGAAACTATGTTGATGGCACATAGAAAATTAAATTTATAATTCTATAAAAAATGTATCTCACCTTTAAAACACTTTCATCTTCAGAATAACAAGACGCCTGAAATGTTACATCGGCCGCTTTGCCTGCTTGAGACACAATAAACACTTTCATGGCTTGAGAAACTTGAATACCTGTCAAGACTGCTGTATTTAAAACTTCCCAGTTCTAAAAATAAAATAAATGGATATAACAGAAACTGAAGACGATCCAAATCTAAACAATTAACCAACCTTGCTTATGGGAACTACGGCTTGTATGTCATCTTTCTGTATCTCGAATCGGGAAATTAATCTCCTGCCTTCCCTCAGAACTTCATCGTCGGATTCCTGTTCGCGATACGGCTCGTATCTAGCTGACCACACTATCTTGCTTTTGTCGTAGTTTTCTATGGCGTCTTCTGATATTTCGATTAGCCATGTGAACAACTCCATAATACTACAAGTATTAGAAATTAAAAATTTAAAAAAACCGACATCAAAAACGTGCAGATGCCATTACATCTTAACCAAATTTATATGGGACCACCCCTGAGGTACCCCCTTACTAACAAAAAAAGAATCATATAAATCGGACAAGGTAGTAAAGCATTGTCTCTAAACATACATAAAAAATTAAGAGTTTGAGGATTTTCTCATGGACCCAATTATTATATTTTGACTAAATTTATATGGGACCACCCCTGAAGTATCCCCTTTCTAACAAAAAAAGAATCATATAAATCGGACAAGGTGGTAAAGCATTATCGCTAAACATACATAAAAAGTGAAGAGTTTGACGATTTTCTCATGGACCCAATTATTAGATTTTGACTAAATGTATATGGGACCACCCCTGAAGTAGTTAGCAAAATCGTATGATAAGATTTTGAAAGGAATACATCTATTTTACTAATGTTGTGTATATAGACAATCATTCTTGTTTCCTGAATATGGCTCCACGTCAGGTTTGCTCCAAGCAATCTCACGAATAGAGGTATATGGAATACTAGCTTATTTTTTAAAAGAGCTGGGACACTGGGACAATACCATACAAATCCATTTGGAGATACCACTTAATCAGTTTTCCTTCCTAGGTAGTAAAGTCGGAAAGTTGTTCTGTAGAAGAATTTCCAGTGTTTGTTTACGTATATGAGCATTGGTCGTTATCAACCACCACCACGTGCATCGTCTGGTTTAGAATGAAATAATTTTGTAACTTACACTGGCACAACATATGATGGAGAGATCAATGCTTGTAGTAATATTTATTACAATATCACTTTAAGAATGAGGTTCTACTCTTAAGAAAGGGAATATGTTAAATATGTTAAAGTAGCTTAAAACTCGCAGTTAAACTAAAATGATTGAGAGAAAATATTCTTTATTTGAAAGACATACAAAAACTATAACCGTTTTAAAGCGATAAGCTATGAAACATTTCGGTTATTCACAATACGCGTGTTTAGTGAAAACGTCACAGATTGAGGAATAGAGTTGCCAGATTTCCGAAAGTGTAAAGCGTGACAACCGTGACGACAGAGCATTAGGTACAAATACCAAGCATTTTTATATAATCAGGTCCATTTTTTGTGAACATTTCTAAAAAAAGTCCTCTTAACGTTCATGTTTCTCTTTCGATTTCATAATTATTTTTTTTCAGTAAAATATTTATTTGTCTTTGATTTGAAGAATTTTAAAACAGCCTACTCAAACCCTGGTTTTTAAAGTGGATATAATTTAATTAATGAACACATTCAAACATATTGTCATGGGAATGACTAAGCCGTCCCTGTATAGCGTAATCTTTAGCCTGCCACTCGACACTCGACACATGGTCATAACATAACACAACACCGCTGACATATAGAGACAAACGCTCCGCTTGGTGATGGAATTTTTGGGGGTGACATTCGAAAGCGTCTAGAAACTACGAGTACAGAGTGGGCTTTGTATAAATAGTTAGTCGACGGATGAGTAGTTTAGAATAAAGTATTGGACTAAAAAGATAAATTGCAATAAATACATTAGAATTGTGAGTTATTGCCTAAGTATTATATAAAGTATTTAGTACGTCATAAATAAATTGTAGTGTGTTTTAAATAAATAAACTATAAATAAATTAAACTATCGTCACAATATAAACGGTAAGTTGATGACCTTTACATGTAATTCTATCGATTTCATAATATTTTGAATTCTTTAATTCTTTCTCTAGCCTTTCTAAAAATGCATTCTTCAAATTCTAGTCGTTAAATGTTAACAGACGGTCATCTACATACAGTGCTAGAAGGAGAATGTCATGAGATTGCATTTAATAAAAAAAAAAAAAAACAAGAAAAGTAAGCTAAATTTTACAAAATGTAATTATAACTGTTGTTGTGAAATTAAGCAGAAACTATTAATATAATAAATACTTACTCTCCCCTATTGGCTGTAGTTTCGGAATTAGATGGCTCTTTTCTTATAAGTGTCACAGTTGCGCTGGTATGTCGAGGGTTAATGTCTATTGTTATATTCCAAGGAATGCCTTCTGAAGCAATTGCTTCTAAGAATCTAACGCCACTCTTTAATCTTGCTCTATAACAAATATCGTAAATGATTATTTATTTATATCAAAATACGCCTTACTACAATGATAACATCGATATTTTTTCACATGAAAATATAATTTGTTTATTAAACTCCAACCATAAATACTATTTAAATCTTTCTGCAATAGATCATAAATCTTTAACCGTTTCTACACGTTTGAAAATATTAAATCGGCTGCAAATAATAGACATTCCGAGTAATTAAGTTTAGCAAGTAAGTCATTGATAAAAATTTTGTATAAAATAGGTCCCAAATAAGAGCCTTGAGGAAATCCAAAGTTGACTTCAAATTTTCCAGAATTATTTTGCAAATAATTTTTAATTCATTTAATGACCTGATACACCAAATTTACCCAGCTTGTATAATAGTACGTCATGAGTAATCGAGCAACAAAAACACGGGGTCATTCCTTATGTGAATAAAATTGTTATTAATATACGACGAAAAATTTCTTTGGATTTCTCTATCTGGCAGTCTGATCCGTCTCTCAATCTGTCGACCTAAGGTTCTTTGGGTAATGCTAATTGGCGTATTTAAAACAAATATTGCCAGGTGTAGGATTCGAACCTTCAGTGCGTTTTTTATACACAGCTGCTCCTTTCAGAGGTAGGAACTTACTTTAGACGACTCGGCCAACCTGGCTGTTACAATTTTTACTAGTTTAGCTGGTTGAAGTACCTACTTTTGATTACCCCCACCACTTCACAAGTTTTTAAGTCCTTCTGGTAATTGCATGAGTACTTATCAATGACAGTTCACATCTAATGTCGTTTACCACATGAAAATCGCACCAACAATAATGCCTTTTTGGCTTTTATACATTAGTATGTCATTTCCCCTACTCCACCGTTTTTCCATTTCGATTTAGACCAATAAGAGCGGAAATAAAATGTCCTTTTGGCTTTGCCACTGCACATGATTTCTTCAATGTTAATCTACGCCACGTCTCCTTTATAGTGCCGTTTGTCCCATGCCAATCCGACCGATAATAGCGGAGATATTCGTTAATGCCTTGTTGGCTTTGTTCTTTCGTTTACCTTGTATATTTTTCCTTATTGACGTCAACGATGGCCGCCATCTTGGATGCTCGACGTTATCTAACCCCGAGCCGACATTATCATGTTTTCTGATAAACTCGACTTCGATCCTGGACATGTGACCTTGAAAGAGACAAAAATTGCTATTTTAAACCTTAACGATTTCCCATTTTAATTTACATACGGAATGGTCCCGTTCTATTGCTGCTCCTTTACTTTCATGTATAAATAGTGTCAAATTTAATTATATTCTCTAAACTTTCATAAGCATAATAATTACTAAAAATAAGCTAGTTTGACTAATAGATTTATTTGCTAAGTAGCCAATTTGTATTACTAAATATTTTTTAACACAGTCATGTAAATTGGAATAGAGAATTTTATCGAATAACTTGCTGATACACCCATTTATTTTGGTGTATATTTTTCAATATTTATGTTATTGGTATTTAATAGAGATGGGCGTAACTACGACTTATGGCTCGTATACTTTTTTCCTAACCTGTATATTAAATATATATTTAAAGGATGTTAGAGGTATTATTTTACATACTTTATAACAATAGCTGTCATTGTCTTCGCTCTTTCTCTGTCCACGAAAACAGGCAAATACAACAAAGACCTCGGATACAATGGTGGATGCGGTACCAACATGGTAATAGAATCCGTTAATTTCAATTCTTTATAAGCTCCTTTGGCAGGCGTTAGAGGGATATGACCTAGTGTCATAGATGGCTGCACCTGTACTTTAGGATGACAACCTTCCCCTTCATCAGGCCATGGTTCTAGCACTGAATAAGCGACGTGTACCAATCTGGGTGGGGTCTTGGTCACTTTCCCCGGTTTTCCGTTTTTATCCAGAGATGGTAGAGGGTTCCACCAGAAAGAAGGAATTGCAACCTGGTTAAATAAAAAATAAGTTAAAGCTATATCGATTCAATTCAATTTGTATTTACTTTACCTGTGCCAGACATACACCGTCCTCTCCATCTGGGCTGCAAGCAGCACGAAGGGATGTCTGATTGCCCATAGAGACTTGTAACACGATGCAAATTTTCTGATGGTGCCTTGCCAGGAGAACTTGACGTCTTCCGCCTGGATCTGTACCGGTATGGAACAGTACTCGGAGTACTGGAGAATCTCTTGGAATTTCACTACGAACAATATGTGCGGACATGTCTAGATGGTGAGTAGCTTGATCTTGAAAATCGATGGTAGCTCCTAGAATAGAAAAACCCACATTGCAAAATGTGAACATATTTTTTCGAATTAAATACTTTAGCTTAGTAAATATACGTACCTGAATTATTAACAGGCAAAGGATCAGGTACTATATATTTAGCTGGAACCGTCTGCTTTGTGCTGAAGGGTCCATATGTTGCCCTTACCGATATTGGCTGTGATTTCTGGAATACAGTAAACTTGTCTACGGATATTGGAAACCCATTGTTTAAAGTCGATACAGTGGATGTTTCTAAATTCGGGGAAGCTATAATGTTTTGGCGTATCTGTTGTTTTATAAAGAAGCCTCCATCTTTATTTTCGAAGTGGACGTTTACGCATAATGTGAAACCTAAGAAAATGCAAAAAAAATATTGTTTTATCTCTTTTTATTGATTTACAACTATTTATAAATAATAATAATAATATTTATTCAAGAAATAATACAAATAACAATTTCAAATAAATAAATATTAATACTCAATAAGTGCCAATAAGGCACTCGTTTTGAGAAAAATATAAATATAAAAATATATACATAAATAATAAATTGTACGATAAAAATTATCATGCTTAATTTTTGGTATATGAAAGTTGTTTTCTCTCCATTTGTTATATGTATCCATGTAAATCCCTAGATACTTTATCACAGAAGCAGTAAAGGTTAATTTGTTAAATGGGGGTCTTGTTATATTATTATTGCTGAATGGTAAGTAGTGGGTTTTATCTACATTTATCACATACTTCAGGTTCTTTCGTTCGTCCCACTGGTGTAGTTGGGTGTAGTAATGAACAACACCAACCCACACCCATACCTTTCGTTTGGTCCGGTGTAAAACCCACTATACCTTCCTGTCGGCGATGTGGTGTACACTGGTGGATATTTTCTCCACCAGCTATTTAGCAGGAGTGAATTACACTCGACGATGTGTATAAGGAATAAGGAGGAAGTAAATTAGGGTAAATAAGGTGGTGTAACTGGTGTAATTTACACTGGTGGACACTACACCAATAGCGAACGAAAGAACCTTTTGATTACTATATGGTGCAAGAGAGAGGTCCGACACACCCAACATAGGGCGCGGTCATTTTGATTCCTATGCCACAGTTTATAGCTAAAGAATCAGATCGCTCAATCTGCGTCGGCACTTTTGATCTCAATGTTCCAGTTTATACACTGCGCAACTCGGATAATACAATATATGAAAACCGCCTATAATAAAACAGCAGTCTTCTGCGCATCCCGAATTTGTATCCCTGGAGTGGATCTTATTTTGGAACTTTCAACTGGTCCGAGTGAGCTAACTGATTCTTTAGCAATAAACTGTGACTGCAAAAATAATTCTGTGACACTAGGTTCTTTCGTTCGTCCCACTGGTGTAGGAATGAACTACACCAACTTACACCAAACCTTTCGTTTGGCCCGGTGTAAAACCCACTATACCTTCCTGTCGGCGATACGGTGTACACTGGTGGATATTTTCTCCACCAGCTATTTAGCAGGAGTGAATTACACTCGACATGTGTATAAGGAATAAGGTGGAAGTACATTAGGGTAAATAAATTGGTGTAACTGGTGTAAACTACACTGGTGGAAACTACACCAACAGCGAACGAAAGAACCTACTGGCAGCAGCAAGCAAAATATTAAAAATATTGCACCAAGATGTAGGCAACACGTAATAAGGCATCAAAATGGCGGAGTTTTCTATCTCCTTTTAAAAGGCACTCAGAAAGCTGCGCAGTGCAACCATTCTCCGTATAGTAAGAGAAAATCAAAGTATGTGACATTTATAAAGGCTTAAACTATTGGACAGATAGAAAGACTAGTGTGGCGTCATTTGTATAAATGACCTATACAGGGTGTTTCATTAAGAATGGGACACAGAACAATTAAAGATTCTCTGATTAAAAATAAGACGATTAAACGAAACATTCTTAGATAAAATATTAGTGGTTTCCAAAATATAGGGTGTTAAAAATTATAACCATTAATAATTTTTAAATTTTCAACTTTAACACCCTGTATTTCCGAAACCACTAATATTTTATCTAAGCATGTTTCGTTTAATCGTCTTATTTTTCTTTAGAAAATCTTCCGTTGTTCTGTGTCTCATTCTTAATGAAACACCCTTTTATATTTTTTTAACTGTGTGTTTTGACCTAATAAATTTGCTATTTTCTATTTGTGAAACGATTTAAATAGTTTTTGATGCAAATTCTTGTCTAAATTTAGTATACAAGTAAATAGGTTAACACTATTTTTTTTTTAGATAACATTGATCATTTGTTGTTTCGATTTTGATTCAAATTTGTGTGTAATTTAGCATACAAAAGCAAATTCCATGAAGAAAGATGTTGCTAAAATGTTAATGCATGCCTAGGAAAACGGCCAGACCTACTTATAAAGGATCCAGTACAACATTATTGAATGACCTGTTATATTTTAACTGACTATGGGGTCTATTCTGTAACAATTCCTTTATATTTAACGGCCTTTAAAAATATTGGCGGCCTATAAAAATATGTTCGTATTCGTTAATTTACTTCTGTCATTATTTAAACAGATGTCTTTAAGATAGTCCTCTAATGAATTTTAAAGATCCGTTTAAATAATGACAGAAGTAAAGAAGAAAATATTTTTAAAGGCCGTTAAATATAAAGGAATTGTTACAGAATAGACCCCTTAGGGGTCTATTCTGTAAAAATTCCTTTATATTTAACGGCCTTTAAAAATATTTTCTTCTTTAATTCGGTCATTATTTAAACGGATCTTTAAAATACATTAGAGGACTATCTTAAAGAAATCTGTTTAAATAATGATAGAAGTAAATTAACAAATACGAACATATTTTTATAGGCCGCCAATGTTTAACGGCCTTTAAAAATATTTTCTTCTTTACTTCTGTCATTATTTAAACGGATCTTTAAAATACATTAGAGGACTATCTTAAAGAATTCTGTTTAAATAATGACAGAAGTAAATTAACGAATACGAACATATTTTTAAAGACCGCCAATATTTTTAAAGACCGCCAATATTTTTAAAGGCCGTTAAATATAAAGGAATTGTTACAGAATAGACCCCTTTAAAACCTAATAATAACTTGTAACCTATTTAAGTTAATGAAATAATATCCGTTTCGTCAGTCTACATCTTTATTGATTCTTTCTTTTTCACTTTCCATTTAATCGTCAAAAGGGAAAAGAGTAGTTTTTCGCGCAATGCTTTGCTTGCATCTTACAAGAGAACCCATGCAACAGGCTGCTGTACATGGAACATTCATCTGATATGTCATATACGGTTTATAGATGGTAATAACATTGAAAAAGACTTCCTACATAAAAGTATAACTGCTAGCAACTTAGTTATTTTAAATTAAATCACCAAAGGGTTGAAGGGTAGTTTTTATTAAGTAGGCATCAGAACCAAGCAAGTAGGGAATCCAAATGGTGGCACAATAAGGCTACAGTGTCGCCATGTTCGAAACCTAGAAGAGAAGAGACAGAATGGAACCCAAGCCTTATTGGGGGTATTAAAAAATAATTTTAATAAGGGACACCCAATTAATTCTGAGATATTCAGGGAGGCTATGACTGTTTTTTTTTAGAATAGTACCTATTTGTTTCAATCGTATCAATGTAACCAGCAAAAACTACAACAGAAAAATACAGATATTGGATAGGTCATTTTGATTTGTATTATTCCTCAACTTCATTTATTTCATCTTCCTTTCTATGAAGAGGGGCTGATTGGTAAGCAGGCCAGAAAGAGAAAGCGATATTTCTATGAAAGCGACAATGATGAAGAAGTTCTGTTCGGTGCTAAAGATGATTTAAAAATAAACGTCTTCCTTGCAATTGTGGTTCGATTAATATCGGGAATGAACCGTCGAAAATGTGCATACGACAGTCTTCGAGATATTCTATGTTCTCTTTATATTTGGCGAACTCTTTGTTGGGAAAGCATTAAAATTATGTGTGAAGTTTATTCACAGGATATTTTAGACGATCTAGTTGAAGAGATCTTGCACTTCAAAAAGTATTTGGTATTACAAAACGAACAAACATGTAAATATCAACAATAGGTTTGTTCCCGAAGCGAGTTCCTAATATATTGAGTACCTATGCGCACATGCGCAGTACAAAGGCAGAGCAAAGTTCCAAACAAATTGAACTTGTTTGGTGTTTCTGTAATAATAGAAACTTGTTCATAACATGTTTGTTATTAGTTCAAATAGTTCCTAAATAAAATACGAACTTTTACCTTCGCGCATGCGTGCTTATTTAAAATCATTTTTCTTCTTTTTCTCCTTTGTTTTTAATTTGATTTTGGTTAGTTTTGTGAGTGCTATTATATTTATTTTTGAATAAAATCTTATGCAGCGTTGTAACAGCAAAACATATAATAAGGAAGGTAGTTTTTATTTGAACAATTTTGAGTTGAGCACATTGATTTGAGCAGGTTGAGCATAAAGCTTAACCTCAAAATTAATTTTTTTAATAAATATAATCGAATGACCTGTATTTATTTAAAACACTCAGTCACATTTATTTTGTTAACGTACCAGCACACATTTATTCGGAACTCATTCAGAACAATATTCTGGTCACGCATGGAACTCGCTTTGGGAACAAATCTAATATGTCCAACTGGATTAGATATCGTTCTAATGCTTGAAACGAATTAAAACATAATTACGCTCAAGTATGTTCTAAAGCAGATTGTACGATTTGGCAGTTTTATCACTGAACTATATATTAAACTGGAAGTCCAATAGACCGTCAGATAGTGATCGATTTAGGTGCCGCATACAAGCCTCGAAGAGGGTTGGAAAGTACATCGATGTTGAGTAGAATAAAAGAAAATTTACGATTGGCTCTTGGGGATAACACATGGAAAATTCAATTTTCCTTATCAGAAAAATTTTCCAAGCCCCAAAATGCATTTATACATTCGGGTCATTCAAGAAAATATGTTTTTCGGACTAGTGACGATGTATGATTTCATAAATTCGATTGGCTTGTGTGGAAAAATCGGGTAAAATATCGATTTTTCCTTTTTTTTTCCATTTTAACCTGTCAGATTAAAACAAGAAAACCGACAATTCCGAAGCAGAAGCGGATGATTAAAACGCACCTATTAAAAATATTGCGCCAAGATGTAGGCAACACGTAATAAGGGTTCAAAATGGCGGAGTTTTCTATCTCCTTTTAAAAGGCACTCAGAAAGCTGCGCAGTGCGACCATTCTCCGTATAGTAAAAGAAAATCAAAGTATGTGACAGTAGGAGCCAGTGTTGTCAGTCTAGTATAATTGTACTAGATCTAGTTCATTTGACGCGTTTAAAATGTATTGTTGGGACACAGTATTATGATTAGGTATAAAGCTAATATAAAGCTTTTTTTGCTCCTCAATGAACCAAACCACATCACAATTCGAATATCTGGTACATTTGATAGAATCTGGTACATTTTTATGCAATTTGGTACATTTTTTAGACAAATCTGGTACATAACGAAAACATATTCTGGCAACACTGGTAGAAGCATATAGGGGGTTCTTTAAGTGCTTTTTTGTTATATTATTATATGATCAGAGAAGAAAATTCTTCGAATATTAATTATTTATTATGTAATTCTCTTTGATTTTTTATCACATAATTTCTCTAAAATGGACAGTAATAGAGAAAGTTGAGGAATAGCGCAAAAATCGAATGTTCTTAATACTTTCGTTGGAAATGAAGATATGAAAAATGTTGCGAATAAAGTACCAGGAAATGTGATGAGATAGCCCGTACTCAATATATTTGATAACTTTACTGGAAAATCATGTCATTATTATAATATTAAAAACAGACATTTAAGTCCCTTTAATTTATATTTCATTTGGTTCGAAAACTGAAACTGGGCGGAGTAGATATTTTTAAAGTAAATATACACTGATAACTTTACAGAAAAATCGTTCGTTTGACGCATCAGATATTTATATACAGAGTGTTTCTAAATTCATGCGACAAAATTCAGGAGGTGATTGCTCGTATGAAATTAAGATGGGTCTTTTTTATAACAAAATTTCCTCAGCCCACCCCTTTCCGAGATATCACCCTTAATAGGTGGTGACTAAAATTTAGTTTTAAAATTTTAGTAAAGCTACAAACTTGAAATTCTGTAATTTTATTTTGGCTAGAGGTGGTCACTTCCAGCATTTATTATGAATCGTATTACAGACACATCTTAATTTCATACGAGCAATCACCTCCTGAATTTTGTCGCATTAACTTAGTATCATTAATTTATATTTAATTTGGTTCGAAAACTGAAACTGGGTGGGGTAGGTATTTTAATTTTTTCACATTGCACTCTTATTTTAAACGAGATATATACAATTTAATAACCAATACAAATATGAATAATTGAACTGCCTCTTTCTTTTTTGTTCCTTATACTTTTTTGAACTTATTCTTTTACTTTTCGTTAGATAAAGAGTACTTCCCTGTTACCAGTAACCTCTAACCAGTCATCTCTAGCCAGTAATCTCTAACCAGTAACCTCTAACCAGAGTAACCTCTAACCAGAGTAACCTCTAACCAGAGTAACCTCTAACCAGTAACCTATATCCAGTAAAGTTTAACCAATTACCTCTAACCGGTAATCTGTAACCAGTAAGCATAGGAATCATGATTTTTTCGAGTTTTCGATTGATCTTTACGGTTTGGGGTCCTCCTGAACCCATCTAGTAGGCATGTTATAATATTTTTGCAACAAATTTTGTCCGACATTTCAATCTGGTTGTTTACAAGTTTACTTAGAGACAGTTGTCAAATATACCTCATTGTAAGTTTTAAGTAATCCTTTCGCCAATTGGTGGAAATCAAATAGGGAGCATTATCGGGATGTGATTTTATTACAATTTCAAGCGTGGCCTAAACCATAAAGAATGTTTTAAGGAAATTAATCGAGTACTGGGGGTTAATCAGCTTTCGAGCAGCTAAGCCAAAAACGGCAGTTACAGAAAAAATATTGATCTTATTCGGAACATGATTAAAATGGACCGGCACATTACTATCAGAAACATTCAAGCGACTTCAAAGATTGATGTGACAGCTTAACACTATTTTACACAAACATTTGAAAGTCTGTAAGCCGAAAAGAAAACCATAAATGGTGCAGATCTATACTAGATTACTTCAACCGTGGATTGTCTAATTTGGTGTACAATATAATTCCGAAAAAAGCAACAATCTCAGTTTTGGTCTCTCAGAATGATCGCCATTTTTTTGAATTTACTGGGCATGTTTCCTAGGGCTCACACTGCTCACAAAAAATGAGTATTTGAATGCCCAAAATACAAAAATGATCTATCTAATGACTTCTTCTTAGTCCTACAGGTAAAGGATAAATTACAGGGTTTGCTCTTTACATCGGCCAGAAGATTAGAGAAAATGGTTTCAAGAAAAAGCGGATGTGGAGGAGAATACTTTGAACAATTATAATTTATTTTTTTTTTGTAAATTAACGGGTTTTACTAGGATCAATAGAAAGAACATCTGGGGGTACTTTATAACTAGAGAAGAAACTTTCGATGTCATTCTCTATAATTTTTGTCATATACATCATTTTCCTAAAATGGAAAAAATCGCAAAATTAGAATTTTCTCAATATTTTCATTGGGAATGAAGATATGAAAAAATGTTGCTAATGACATGTGAGTGGAAATTTGTTAACTTTAATTCATGTGTCCAATCACTTTTTGATTAGATGGCCCGTACTAAATATATTTGATAACTTTATTGGATACATCAGATATTTGAATATATTTACTTTTATGCATTTAGTTTGAAAACCCAAACTGGGTGGGGTAGGAATTTTTAAATTAATATAGAAAAATAAGATTTTACACTTATAAAAATTTTAATTTTCCCTTTATATTCGCTAGTTCTGGTTAAATTTTTGGGTCACATTGCGTTTTCATTTTAAACGAGTAATATACGATTTAATACCCAATACAAATACGAATAATTCTTGGACTGCCAATTGAATCGTTTAAAAGCAGTTTAAAGATCAAAGATTAATACGAAAACCGCTCTATTTTTACTCACCAGCTGCAAACAAAATAATCCAAACCGAACAGTAAGAAAAATTTTTTGTCATCGTGATAGCGCCTGATTAAATTTTTTGGTGTTTCACATTTTTATCGGAAAAATGTCGGAACTACGTTGCGCTATTTCTGTATTAGATTGAAAGAATGGTCTCGCGTCGCGGAGACATTCTATCATTATTTTTTCACATAGGAAACTTGATAAATGTTAATTTAATTTCATTTACGTCGCCCGTATAAGATACATTCTACGATGCCGTAATTTGGACACTAGTCACAGTCGTAGAACGACTGCTAGTATATTATTGACCGGGAATCAACTGCCTTGCGCCGCCAGATTGCCTCTCCCCCACTGACAGGGTTGTAATTTGTATTTTGAATGCCCTTCTGACTTCAGCTGCGGAATACAAAACGAACACCCAGCTGATTTATACCTCATTCATCCAATATTATTTCACTACGGAATTGCGATATCAAAACTAAACGACCTTTGAAAATACAGTGTGTGTGAAATTCGAATGTCTGTGTATTGGTATCTCGTTTAAGGGCCCTCCAACTAGCACAATCATATTAGACTGAACTGATATACAGGGTGGAACATTAGTCTGAGAAAGTCCACTATAGGTATCTCTTATAAAAAATATGAAAAATATTTTAAATAAAAGTAATATTTTTTATAAAATACTTTTAAATATACAGGGTATTTAGTTACAGTGGTACAGCCTTAATGTCGGTTTTTAACTCTATATACTTTTTAACCTTTGATTTCAGTGTAATATTTAATTTATAGTTTGAGTTAATTTTATTTTATGCTCTTTCACTTTTAAAACAACATCAAAAGAATCTAGCGGCACCGCGCCGTACATGATACAATACAAATTGACCATCAGCCAATACTCTCGGGGTTTGAGACAGGAACATTATTGCCGAGCATAAATTCATTCTAGCGTATTAGGTAAATATGCTTTGCAATTCGAAGTTCGCTATGAGGCTGGATGTCGCTTTCTTTGTAAATTATATATAGCTATAATAGTAATACTGAAATCTAACTGTGAAATAACATAAAATAATTCTGATCTACACTATAAATTAATATTTTTTTTTAATTTTGCGAGGTTGTCAACTTAATGCAAAAAATCTGATGTGTCCAACACATGCCCAGACAGCACACCAAATCCTTTGGATATCTACTGAACATCCCAATATCCACTGAATGTCCAGTCCATGGTGGATATCTATTTTATATCCATGAGATGTAATTTATAGACATGCAAATGTCCATAATAATAGTAATTATATACCAAATTATTATAAAATTACGCCATTGTGGCTAATAGTACCGTTCAAATATTTAAAATTAATTTTTTTAAGGTGTATTCAATATCCCATGGACATCCACTAAATAATCAAAGTCTAGGCGCGAAAGCAAACCATCGTGGATATCCACTAGATGTAATTTTTGATTTTGCTTACTAAGTATAGATGGCGATACCACTTTCGCTCGTGCTCATGCTCAATCCGCCGTAATTGAGTTCGATCGAAATTTGTAGATCAGTCAGACTCCATTAGAGACTGGAGTCGAGAGTTTCCATTTATTGTTGAAGAGTCCTAATAAGAATGACTTTCTCCTTAGTGGGTAAAATCAAACGCAGAGTGTTGAAAATATTTTTTATCTCTGCTATTTTCTTTCGACGTTATTTAATAATCATTGGTTACTTATGAACATCTACTAAAGATATCCATAAAATATTTTGCTGAATATCCGAATTCTTCTATATCCTGGGATATAGACGGACATTTGGTTGGATATCCACAAAATATATTGTGTGGATATTTCTGGGATTTCTTGTATTGCCTGGAAGATACCCATTAGATATTTTGCTGGTTATCCATAGGGATATCTTCTATATTCTGGATATAGACGGACATTTGGATATCCATATTAGATCAACGGAATATTTCTGATATCCTGTGGATGTATTGGATATCCACAAAAGATATTCTGTGGATATCTCTGGGATTTGGTGTGTTGTCTGGGACTTTCCTATCTAGTTATTATAGGCTTTTTCCAGTTAGTTTGTACAACCTATTGACCTCTATAAATGTTTAGAGGATAAACTAAATATATACATTTTCCACATACATCTACCTCGAAACATTTTTCTATGGATATTCATTAAAAACGAAAATACTGAAAAATTTAAATTTAGCACTTTTTCTACAATTTTTCATTACGGTCCATTTTAGAAAAAGCATATATAAACAACAATTATAGAGATCGATATCGCAAACAACTTTTAGTTCAACAGTTTTCATAAAAATCAGAATTTTGCACATTTTGTAAAATTTCTCGAATACGGACCATTTCAGGAAATTTTGACATAAGACAAAAATTATAGATAATAATATTAAAAGTAACTTTTATTTAACCAATTTTCTTTTCCAAACATAAATAACAGCTATATTCCATAAAATATAAAAACGGCCTCCCATAAAGTACCCCCCAGATGTTCCGACTTTGTCCAAAATCTAATCATTTCACATCAGGCCGAAATAAAAATTAAGTTTAAAATTTAATGTTTTTTTCTTTATCCGTTTTTGAGTTTTCTTCAAAATTCGAAATTTACACATATTCTCAAATATCTCGAATACATTCCATTTTAGAGAAATTATGTATAGGATAAAAATTATAGAGAATTATATTTCAAACAACTTTTATTTAAAAAATTTTTATAAAACATTTTTTTTACATTTTGTCAAATTTCTCGAATACGGACCATTTTAGGAAAATTTTGTATAAAACAAAAATTATAGATAATAATATTAGAAGTAACTTTTATTTGAAGAATTTTCTTTTCTAAACGTAAATAACAGATATATTCCATAAAATATAAAAATGGCTACCCATAAAGTACTCCCCCAGATGTTCCGACTCGGACCAAAATCTAATCTATCCATTGGACGCTGGAATAAAGCTTAAGTTTAAAAGTTGGTGTTTTTCTGTATATCGGTTCATGAGTTATGGTGGACACACACCACACACACACACACACCACACACACACACACACACACACACACACACACACACACACACACACACACACACACACACACACACACACACACCACACACACACACACACATACACATACACACACCACACACACACACACACACACACACACACACACACACACGCACACACACACACACACACACGCACACACGCACACACACACACACACACACACACCGCGCACGCACGCGCACACACACAGAGACATCATCGCGAAAATAGTCAAAACGGATTCATGCAGGGGACCTCAAGACGTAAAAATCCGTCGAAAACTCAAGGTCGAAAAAATCATGATTCCTATATTTTCCTTATATCTGTATACAGATAGGAAAGTAAAAATGTGAAAAACGAACGCTAATGGAGCTTCTACAATTCACCACATAGGCACTGGTGTTGCTTGTGCTGTTAAAAATACATGACTTCTTATGGGACTTTTACATAATTTTGTTAAAATAATAAAAATAAACTTGTTTATTACTAAATAAAGCATAAAAAATACTGTTGTATTTATTTATAAATAAGTTTTGCATGTTTTAATTGGTAAATTATTTATTTTAATCTATATGAAATGCAAAGGTAGGTATGATCAAATTCGAAAAGGTTTGTTGAATGGTGATATTTAGCAGTACAATTTTGAGGCAAAATTTTTTTGAGTTACACCTAAGTATAGTTTTAAGAGCAAAATAAAACACAGTTATCAGATTTTTTTATTGTTATACCAGCATATAGGAAGATTTGGAAATGTACATCCATTAATTTTGGCCTTCTTCTTTTTATTTTGCAGTTTAGGATCATTTGAAAAACATTTACAATGACAAAATTGGGATTCAACAAAAAATAACAGTAGTAATATTCATCCAACATTAAAACTCCATGTAAGTCAGGATCTATGTCTGTAAAATTTTGTTTATCTTGTCGTGAATGCTTTACAAATTTCTTCTCAACTCCAACATGCTTTTGTTTTCTTCTATAAAATTATTTGAAACTACTTTTTACTAAAAACTTCCTGTCGCGAACCCTTTTTTCAATAATGTAGGTTCTTTTAGTAAAGCCTTTGACTTTCTTGCTTTTCTTTGTGTTTAATGCTTGTAAGAAACCATCTCATCTGCTTTTAAATGTATGGTGGAAAAAGCTGCAATTAATTTAATAATAGTGACTGATATTTGCAAAATAAAACCATAATCTTATCATTAGCCTTTAATTTCAGTTTAGACTCAGTCCCGTTATTTCTTCTAATTTTTGTCAGATAGTTTGCCAACAGCAACACTGCGACTCGCTCAAGGTTTGCCAAAATTTCAAAATATTTAGGGATATGAACAAAGTGTGATCCGAATTCAGGTCGGATGCCGTACCCTAATCCAAAATATTTAAAATATTTTAAAAAACAATATATGGAACTGTGTTGTCTACGTACCTTGAGCTGAAACGACGTCTGACAGGTTCAAAAGGTTTATGTACAGATAATTTTATAATACAGGCATCAACTTGCCATTCTTTAAACATCTAAAACTTTGTTTTTCTTTTCAAATTGATTTCATAATTTCTCAGAACCAAATAAAGCCTTCAAATTATATTATGAAGGTATTAACTTTTGACAATTTTTTATTTTAATTGATACAACTTAAAAATAATATAGTTTTTTTCTTAAGTGGGCTATGACTTTGACATTTAGTAATTAGTCATTCCAAACAAATGAATTGCCAGTGGGAAGGTTTGGTATATCTAAGGGTCTACTTTACGTAAAATCATGAGTAATGGATAACATTTAAATATTTTATGTCAAACGCAATAAAAATAATATTTAAAAAACCCACCTATACATTTCTTTATAAATTGGCAGGCTTGGCGACTACTACTTCGAATAAAAATAGTGTCCAAGTTGCAAGACTATGTCGCTACCCCCTTAGATATACAAGAATTTCCCACTGGCACATATTGTTTGACAGGTCGTTGGAATGCCTAATTCGGCATTCCAAACAAATGAATTGCCAGTGGGAAGGTTTGGTATATCTAAGGGTGGCGACATACGGTGTATTCTATCTACTTTACGTAAAATCATGAGTAATGGATAACATTTAAATATTTTATGTCAAACACAATAAAAATAATATTTAAAAAACCCACCTTTACATTTCTTTATAAATTGGCAGGCTTGGCGACTACTACTTCGAATAAAAATAGCGTCCAAGTTGCAAGATTATGTCGCTACCCCCTTAGATATACAAGAATTTCCCACTGGCACCTATTGTGTATGACAGATCGTTGGAATGCCTAATTGCAAAATTAAAACTAGTACGAAGATAATAATTTCAAAAAGTTATGTCATAAATTATTCCTCCTAAGTTTTTTTTTGTAACAAGTTTGATTTAAAGGTCCAATATTCTAAAGAGAAAAAAATTAAAGCGACCCCTTTAAAAAAAGTTGGGAAGTTGGGTACCTTTTAACCCCCCCCCCCCCCCCGTATTTTTTTTGTCATAAAGAAACTTGCTTTGGGGTCTATTCTGTAACAATTCCTTTATATTTAACGGCCTTTAAAAATATTGGTGGCCTTTAAAAGTATATTTGTATTCGTTAATTTACTTCTATCATTATTTAAACAGATTTCTTTAAGATAGTTCTCTAATGTATTTTAAAGATCCGTTTAAATAGTGACCGAATTAAAGAAGAAAATATTTTTAAAGGCCGTTAAATATAAAGGAATTTTTTCAGAATAGACCCCTTTATCGATCTTAAAATCAAAAAGAACTATGAATTTTTAAATTTTTTTTATAGCATGTATCAAGGTCGGTGTTCTACCAGCTCTACTTCTTTGGCCATTGACTATCTTGAATTGCTAAATACCTAACAAGTAGAAGACAATAATAACAACTTATATAAATTGAAGAAGAACATGACAACTGACAACATAGTAATTTTATAGTTAAAAAACGTCAAAACAAAACTAATTTAAAAATAAAAGCATGAATTTATAATTTTAATCTAGGAAAAATATGTCGAAAGAAGCACGATATGGTTTATTATACAGTGAATACGAGTATTCCTCTTACGTGCGCATTCAATCCGAAAAATGTTGCATTATTGTAGCCTGTTTTCCAATCTTAGCGATGATCTTTTGTATCCTGTATTCCGTCCTATTTAATTTCGAAGGAGCTGTATATACACATTGCGATGTTTATAATTGGCTGCCGTCGATATCAGCAGCGATAGGAAGTTTTTCACCGCAGAGAGAAGTGTGGCAAAGCGCTGTCACCATTCAGGCCATTCCAAGATTTTTTTATGCCTTTCAGTACCTACAATTTCATTACAGTTTGTTATATCCTCATGATTTTTGGATTGCTCAAGTTGCATTTTTCCTAAGTATGGTAGAGAATATAGCGCTCATACTACTGTCTTTCTTTGTCTCTTCACAATATTATTGTAAGTACCTACTTTTAAAACCTTTATTAAGCAACATGGTTTCGAAAAAAGCATTTTTAAACAGTTTAGGACCGATTCCACCGTCGTATTAAACGAAGTTTAAAATGACATTTTTACACAATGTCAATTTAATCTCTATTTAACACAAAGGTGGAATCGGCCCTTAGTGATCTAAGATTGATTTTTCATGGCGAGTTTTTAGCCTATTTTGGTAATAATTATGATTTTAACATTCTTGATTAGACAAACTTCCTAACAATTAAGTACTTATCTTTTTTTGGATTTAAATCATATATTGATTTAAACACTAGAATCACTGCAGAAAGTAGCTCTTGTATTGATCATAATTTTGTAAGAAATAACAGGTTTGATCTCACAAAAGCAGCAGTAATTGACACCAACATAACAGACCATTTCCAATAATAACTACCTTTGATACAAATAAATTTTGTATCAAACATTGAAATATTTACAATTTTAAAAAATAGTGGCAGACACACTAAAAGTTATTGTATCAATAATAGGTAAATATAATAAGATAAAATCATAGATATAAAACACAGATAAGATGAGGAAACAACTCTTAAAAAATAAAAGTAATACTAGGGTGAACCCTCCAGTTAATGACCACTTTAGGCAACAGTGATATATACATATTTGTAAAAATGTTCGTTTTGTTTTTAAAAGAAAAAGCAAGGAATAGCTGAATGAATTTGTTTACTAATTTAACTTTTTTAACATAAAAATGTAAACATGTTTATTTGTTTAAAATATTTGATAATTTTTAAGATATAATGCATAAAATCCTAGTAAATGACCAGTTCCTTTGAGTAATGACTAAATAAAATACCAGTAAATGACTATGAAACTTTATTGTCTAAAAGAAAACATAAATACTTAGTATAAAAAAATTAAAGCAGTGTTTCATACTTTTTCATTTCAGGAACTGAATACACATTTCCTAAAATACTTATCAGCATTGGTGGTTCAATCTTTTTAATGACATCCTCTTCTTTATAACATATTTAATCATTTTTTTCCCCCCATTTCCAATTTTGTGCACTTTTACACATGACTCGCACTTCATATTATCCTTTTTGTTTTTGTATAACAACACGGGGAAAAGTAACTGTTCTCATATTTGACAATCACAAAATCAGCAATGGTAAATGTAGTTGGTGGCCTAGATTCATTGATTTCATTTTTATCCTGGTATCTTGTTCATTTTCCTCAAAAGATTCTTCATCTGAAATATTGGAATCACTTGAACTTGAAGAAGATTCTCTTCTCTTTAACTTTTTTGGTCTATTTTCTTTATTTTTGTTTAATTCTTCAGCAATTCTTTTTTGTTCTTTTTTCTTCTCATGATATTCTTTCCAACATTTGGAAGTTATTGCCAAAGGGGCCTTTTCTTTAAAACTTTTTTTAGTGGCAATTTCCAACTTTGGAAAGTGTAAGTGTTCCTTCCAGGAATCTTGGAGTTTAAGAGATTTTTTTGAGCTAAAATTTAAATCCAATTGTGTTTCTTTTGACTCATCATTTTCCTCATTTTGATTTTCAATTTGGATGCTTTTATTTTGAGTATTGTCTTGGTTTTCTGCATGTTCCATTTCTTCCTCAATTTGTTCACATATATTTTCATTTTTTTGGGTAATCTCCAGGGCACTTTCTTGATTTTCTTTATTTATATAATCTACATTTCTAATTTCTTCAACTTCCTAATAATCATCAGTTTCTGTGTCCATCATTATTAGAACATTATTTTTCATATTTTCTCTTTCGTCTTCTTATGCAATATAATTCTAGCCATTTTCTTCATAGGGGTTGTCTTGATTTTCTGCATATTTTTTCCATAATTTATCATTATTTTAAACTTTTTGTGCTTTTCTCCCTTCTCTGTATGTTTTTGAGGTCTCTGGGGGAAATTTCACTTTCAAGAATTTTTAAAAATTTCGTTTTATCAAATCCACTCTGATTACTCTCTACATTATTATCTTCTTTTAGTGCTCCCTGACGAGTATTCATACATTTTGAAAAATCAACATTATTTGCATTAAATGGAAATATGCCACATGTCCTGAAGGCCTTTTGTATGGTTTCAATTTTACTGACATTTTTAAATGCTTGTGCAAAAATAGGTGCAAAAGATACTTTGGTTAGAGATTTTCTTGTTTATATTTCTGACACTGCTTCCTCCAGGATACTTTTAGATTTAGAGGTCTAAAGATACCAACATCACATGGCTGTAATATGTGTGTAGCATTTGGTAATAGACAATATAAAATAATTCTTTTTTTTTTGACAAAAAGTGGCTAGTTCATGATATGTGACTTATGTCCATCTAGCAGAAAGAGAACAGGCAATTTTATGTTATTATCTAACAGCTATGGACAGAAATTATTCGCTACATACTCAAAAAATGTAGGACCAACCATCCAACCTGTACCACTTCGATCAATATAAAAATTATCAGGGATAGAGTTAGCAATGTCTCTAGGTATTCTTTTGTATGGATATAAGTGTTGAAGCTACTTTTCCACTGGCAGAAAAATTTGCTAATACAGTCAGGCACTCTTTTTATTTTCCGACAGCAACATCATAAAAATTTCTAAAATGTTTTGGCCCTAGCACCTTTCCTGTTTTGGGGCATAATTGCACCCCAGTCTCATCAGCATTATAGACCCGATCAGCATCTTCAAGAATATAAACAGCATTTTCTTCTATTAAATAACTTTTAAGATCCTGAAAACACTTTCTGATATCTTGCTCTAGCTTTGGAAATAATTTCAGCATTTCTTTTCCCAATATCTGGCTTTACTTTTAAAAATCCTTTTAGCCATTTATCACCGGAACGGTTGTTGTTGAATGGATTAGGACACTGGGTTTCTTCCATTACCTTTTGTACGACATCTTTCACTTCATCTAGATGCATAGGAAACCCAATTTTTGTTTTTTGGATTGTCCAATTCTCCAACATATCTTCTTCCTGAGCAGTCAAGATTCTTGGTGGGCCCATCTTTCTTACTGAAACATTGGATTTGCCATGCAGTTTATTAATTAAAGTGCCTTTTGGAATTTTAAATTGTTTACTGGCTTTAGTAGCACTAATTTTTCCTTCTTGGACTTCTGTCACTGCAGCTTTTAGATCTTCAATGGAATACTTAAATATTGTATATGCTCTTTTGGGTGCTTCTGTAATCTGAAAATAAATGTTACACATTTGCTTTATTGCACAAATAATATTTTAATACATAAACAGCAAAAAGTCATTGACTAGGCTAAATATCTAGTGAATGAACAGAAGAGCATTTAGATAATAAGAGTGGTCATCTATAGGCCAGTCGATTCCCTCATTATTTACAATGCTTGCATAAAAGAAGCATCCAGATAGTGATTAAAGTACATTATCAAAACAAATTATTTTAAAATTCCTGCCAACCCAGTAAATGACCACATTCAGTCATTCACTGAATTTCTTAGCTTTAGCATTACCTATTATTGACCATTTAAAAAATAAATGCTTTTTGAGGTTATATTAGTATTACAGCCTAAAACATGCTAAATTTGATCTTGTTTCATGCAGTTTAGTCCAAATAACATAACAGTTTTACAACTCCAATACATATTTTTTACAAAATAAAAAACACTTAGCTCTACTTACCTTAATTACTTGTGGTTACTTGAGAAGGAAACAAAAATACATGCACTTTTAACTGACATTTGTAAACTGACGATTATGAGCAGTGTTGTCAAATGTATAAAAAAATTTGAGAATTAGGTGAGGATCAATTTGCTGTATAATATGATGCCTTAGGTTATTAAAAATTCTTAATAAATCATAAATCAGTAAATATTGGTCATTTACTGAGACGTGGTCAATAACCGGTTCACCCTATGTTGAGAACTGAATATAAACTATCTGTAACCATTTAAATAAAATAATTATAAATGCCAAAAATCAGTATTACACAAATCAAATTGAAAACAGTAAATTGGATGTTAAAAAAGTATAATAAAAAAAAACTACCAAATGAATCAAACCATTGTTTATTGAATTTTGTTGCAGCTGTCCATAAAAAAGCTTTTATAACCTTTATAATTTCATCAGAAGTGTACATGATACTCACGTGCATACTGCAAAGCAGGTTTAAAAAACAGTTCCGAATTAGTTTGAAATGGAAGAAAAGATTTCTAACAACAAATCTTATTTTCATTGTTGTGGCTGTTTATTTTTTTATGAGACACAATTCCTTCTGCGAACCATATGGTAAGTGTGATTCTTTTTAAATGATCTACTAAATATTCCTTATCTTAAGATGCATTCTCATTATTGTTAAATTAACAATGTTATAAACAAAATTAAAAGTTATTCGACTATGCTAGAGAATTGTTCATGAAAGAGAACAAGTTAATGTTATTTATATCCAACTTTAATTTCATATCAACTCTTCAATATTATTTGTGACTTGTAAACCTCAAAAAAACTGTTTTTTAAAGTAGGCAATAACCAACAAATGCATGAATTATGTGATAGGTAACTACAGGTCAGAATGAAATCCAAACTCATTTAAAAAAGAAGAATAATATACTCTATTAGTGGATAATTTCTATGCCAAACAAAAGTTGTGTTTAAACTAAATATCTAGTTTTTGAACTATTATTTCTGGAAGTGTAGAGTCTTATAACTCGGAAAAATTGATTATTCCCGCTTTTAACTCGGAAAAATCAATTTTTCTGACTTACAACTCAGAAAAATAGATTATTATAACTTAGAACTCGGAAAAATTAAAAATTCAATAAAAATGCAAACCTACATAAACACATTAAAAACACAAAAATGAAACAAAGTCATTCTTAGTCGAATTTAACAATTCTTTTTAGAGCCTGATATTTTTACATTGAAATTATTGCATTCAGGGTAAAACTTATTATGAAAATTGTGAATTTAATAAATCGCAAATCGAAATCCGAAAGGTCAGAATTTTCTTAAATAAGTTGTAGAAATAATTTTAAAATTCGGAAACAAATCTCAAAAATCCCTCTACGAATTATTAAGACCATCCCCAAACCCCAAAGGTGAAAACAAATTGGCCAGAATTAACACATCAAACTGCCATCTCGGAATCTCGATAGGCAATATCATGATAGTCTAGAGGTAGGGCATTTGTGTACAGAACATAAAAGTCTGGGTTCGACAGGCTTTTTTCAAATCTTGAAATATTTGTTTTCAACTTTGGGGTTCCGGGATTGTCTTAATAATTCGTAATGGGATTTTTGAGATTGGTTTCTGAATTTTCAAATTATTTCTAAAACTTATTATAGTTGGTTCGATGTTATTTAATGTAAATGTCATGTTTGCTTAGTATCGTGAGAGTTAAAAAATGTGATATTTTCCAAAAGAATGTTGTACAGGACAGACTTAAGTGATAAAGGGCCCAAATATTTTTACATAAGATGGTTCATACAATTTTCAAGCTTGCCAAAAGACAACATGGTTTATAAAAACCAGGTCTAACAATGTGAAGATACATTGGTTTTCAGTCTTTCATTTCAAATCAAATTGTTTCTCGATTATTTTATGCTATGATTTGCCCGTGGGGCGTCTCAGTCTCGATAAGGTGGAAATCACCAATTTAGCGCCTCTCGAATGAATAAAAATGTAACGTAAAATTAATTTAATAAAAGGTCAGTGATGATTTTTATGTTTTGCAATTTTTATTTCAATAATATATCAACAACCTGAAGTTGACTACGAATATTTATCTGAAAACCAGCATTAATATTGGGCATTTTTTCTCATAATTATATTTTTATTGTTGATTCTTAGGTAAAGAAAAAGATACTATGCAATGGGTTTCTGACTCTTAAGAAATTTCTTCCTTTTTATCTTTGTGTAAAAAAAGTATACGGCGCAATTTAAAATTTTTAATAAAATCTGTAATAATTATTTGTTGAACGCTGTGTAGGTGTCACCTAGAAGATTAAAAAGGAAATCCTATTTTAATGAGACCGACTTCGATTAATTCAGCTAACTCAAATCGGAGGTATCAACATTTAAACAAAAACGTTTCTAACTTTTTAAAATACCCTGTATATGTTTCCTGGTTGAAAGTGAAGTAAGTAGGTACTATTCGGAGTCATCTATTTTCCGAGTTCTAAGTCAGAAAAATCGTTTTTTTTCTGAGTTATAAGCAGGAATATTCGATTTTTCCGAGTTCTAAGTCGGAATAATCTACTTTTCTGAGTTTTAAGTCGGAATAATCTATTTTTCTGAGTTTTAAGTCAGAAAAATCGAGTATTTCGAGTTCTAAGTCGAAATAATCCATTTATAAAGTATGTACAGTTGGCGCAACCCAAATGTGAACGCTTTTGGGTTGTCATGGGATTTTTTAAATTAAATTAATTCCAAGTCTGGCTTTGGCCAGTAGTGTTACAAAGACAGGGGAGAATATGGAGAACAAAGTATATTACTTTTATTAGCAATAATGAACTTTTCGGGCAGCAGCGCAGTTTTTTAAGCCAGTTAGTTTTAAACGAATTTGAACTCTTCTGAGATCCTGCGAATAATGTTTCTTCTCGTGCTTTCACAACGGATTAAGTCTGAGAGCATTATCTTCATTTTCATTAGAGAAAATCCCTACAGCTTGCCTGAGAAGTCTTCGCAATGTTTGTTCTTCTTGCCAGCTTTTCTCTATGTAAAATATGCAACTGTTACTGACTAATTCAGCAGCAACTTCACTTAAAAATCAATTGTCTTCCTAGTTTACTATATCTCACGACTTTTGAGTCTCAGTTAAATGCTACGGAATTTTTAAAAGTTCGTTTGATAATTTTTAAGAGCTGTCAAATATGAATGCGACGCACAACTAGGGATGTTGCGATACTACTGGTATCGATACTTTTCTTTCGACACCGGCCGGGAAATTTAGTAGCCGATACTTTACCCATATCGATACTACTTTTGTTTCGATACATTATACATACATTATAATACAAACAAAAAGCATATTGTAGGATCACTTTATGGTATGGTTTTTGGTTCTACACTCTTCCCGATATCGGTATCGATACTCTTTTCGATACCGGTATCGATACTTTACTGGTATCGCAACATCCCTACGCACAACTATTGGCGATTTCGGAAACATACTATAGATAACAAATCCAGATTACTGGGTTTACCCGATGGATCGTGTGGATCAACAAACTTAATGCCAACATTTTACGAACGAGTCTGATTATTGTTCCTGTTTATCTACGTTTATCAATCTTTGACTTTTCCCGCGTAACTGTTAATATTATAAACCCTTATTTGTTAAAGAACCATTTTAATAAAGCATTTGTACTCAGACTAATAAAGTTGTAATATGGACATAAGCAGTTATAAGGAATTATGTAATATGTGCTTGATTAAAACATCAGTTACTTTAGTTAGGATTAATTTAATAGAACATAAAAACACGTTTTCATCAAGACATTAACTTCTATGAATGAGTAACAACAACGGGGAGTCATTCCGCCGTCACCTGTCTTTGCAGGAGGGTTGCCAACCTACAGTAGCAATGCTGCCAAACATATATATTATGACAAATTAAACGTTGAAAAAACTTCAAAGCTACTACTGTCAGACAACAGACACCAAAAAATTGCGTAATCCCTTTATAAAATCCTGAGGTGCGCATGCGGATCTATTACTAATCTACTCATAGAGTGAATCACAAAATATTGATCTCGATCACAAAACTGGATCAGTAATCTACTAAAACGCCTTATGATGCAAAGCCTAAATCGCACCGTTAAATTTTGGTGTTCACATTTCGGTTTTGTCAACTGTGCAATATATTGAAGATTTGATGTTACAAAATCCTCTGACGCCGTTAATGATGCTATAAGAATTGTATGTTTTATTATTAAAGATACTCCGCCATAACTGTACCTAACTATATTTTTTTTTTATCTGTTAACTATGATTTTTTTAGTATATAGTCTGTTCGCATTAGCCGAATACATCGTAGTATTTTCCAATATGGCATTCCACTCGACAGCCTTCTTTGATTTTCAGAACAAAGATTTTGTGATCTACAAACATGGTTTCACTCTAACGGAAAGATAATATTTAGTGATTTAGCTAGTTATGTAAATTTCGATAATTTATTTATTTTCGTTAGCGCACGTTGTGCTATTTGATGCAGTATTAACTGATTGTTTTTTATACAGAGGGTGTTTCACAACTTGACAATTTCATTGGTTTTCAGTCAGATGTTTCGCATAGGGGCGTAGCTGTCACCATTTGCATCTAGCAAAAGTTTTTTGTGGATTATATAATTCTATGATAGTTATCGATTATAGTATTCGCGATTTCTACAATCGATTTTTTCCATGGACCATTTCAGGTCACGTGGTTTTGACATTGACTGAAGACCATACAAACATTTATATTTCATTTATTTCTTATGCATTGCGTTCGGTCTGCCAAGTTCCTTTAACTCCTTTAACACTTTTAACTCCAAACGACCCTTTTAGCATTCGGTTTAGTCCGATTAGTGACAGTTTAACACGCTTAAATGTCATTTAAAAGCACCCTAAAATTTGTCCCGCTCCAGCCCCTGAGTATCCGAACTCGCCTAGTGAATGCGTGTGTAAAGTTTCATAGTAATAATTGTAATTTTAAATGATCATTCGAAAATATTTTCTTTTTATATTTCTCTGATGTCTTTCAACAGCTTTTGAGGGTATTTTAATTTAGTTATAACATGCAAATGCCCCATATTTATCTTCGAACACTGAATGCTCTCTAATACTGCCAATTTTCTTACTTTTGTATTAAAAATGTTTTTTGAGACCCAACCTAACATCGACATTCTTGTGACAAGGAATCTAATTTTAATATTTAAAAATGTTTACTCGAAGTTATTAAATGGTTTGTGCGTCCCTCAGCCAATATGAAGTGTTATAGAATTATTTAAGCCGCATCATTACACTGTTATATTAAATTCTATTGTCCATTGAATTTGTTATGTTCACTTGAGAAACACCCTTTATATGGTTAACTAACAATTTTGAGAATCATTGATTTTATTGTGGTGACACTAAATTCCAAACAGTGGATGCTTTAAACTGACGAGAAAATCAATCAATCGATTATGCAAACATAAATAAGCGGGACTTTTTGTGTCAAGTGGCGTCATCTGTCGATCATTTAGATAATACAGAAAGGCGGGACTACTTAAAATTGGCTGTAAAAATTAATGAAATCTGCAAAACTAGTACGCAAATTAAGATTTGTTCATGCTGACTCAGTGTTTGCGTTTTGAGCAAAAAACAAAAAATCTGACTATTGCCAAAGGCGTGCGGGGGCATACGAATATTTTTGCCTCTGTAAATTCTACGCCACTGCCGAAATCAGTTACTGAAATGATCGAATAAAATGGCACTGTGTCTACAAAATATTGTTTTATTCGTTGATTTGTTTTTTCTTAAACGTTCATGCATGATTAAATGCATATTTCTCAATTTTCGTTATGTGTTATGAATATGATTAGTGAGAGATATTGTGTGCACAATGAATTAATCTAAAACCCTAGTATGCCGATTTGATATCTCCCAATACGCTATATTAGTAATTTGTGTTCCACTAACAATAACAATGACAGTAGAGGTTATAGGTCTTCATTATTGTTTTATTTCTATTATTTTCAAGATTGTATTCATTTAAAATTTAAAAATAATTAATGGCGTACCTACACCGTATGGTTCTTATATATTTTTTTTTAAATCAGTATGTCAAATTCAATGAAAAAATGGTTTGTGTTTTTGTTAAAAGTGAATTGTCAGTGGAACACAATATAGCGTATACATCCATTGATTGGTTTTCTCTACATTACCTGATTTGGTGATTTAAGATAAAATCAATAAAGTTAGTTTACATATTCTTAAAGTTGTTAGCCATACGCAAAATTGTGATCGAAATTTCTTTAAAGGGTCTTCCAAATAAAAGGTAAAAAAGTGTTTTTTAAAAAAGCCGATGGTTCACTGAAATATCGGCGTTCGGGCATAATGTTTTATTGCAATAGATTTTTTCATCCGAACACATATTGCCGTTGCAAGATCTTTGTGCTATCTATCAGTTTATATAACAACTGTAAATTATCATATCTAAGGTAACAGCTTCGGCATTATTTTCTTTTTTTTTTTCCTTATATTCTTTTTTAACTGTATGGGCTCAGTTTTTCACTAGCGCTTTCTGAGGTCTATTTGGCTTGCAAAGAAGCGCGTGTTAGGGGTCTTATGGCAGATTTTTCTAAAATTAAAACCTTTTTTTAAAAACGAAACGCTGGTACTGAGTAGATAGTGAAAAACTGAGCCCATATAGCAATAAAAGAAGACAAGGAATAGAAAAGGAATGTATGCTGACGCCATAAGCTTTGAAATAATATCCTGCTTCTATTACTTGCTATGTAAACTGATAGATGGCGAAAGCTGTTGCAATGACCTTGAAACTACAATATGTCTTCCAATGAAAACATCTATATGTACGTGTAGTTCAAGAAATCTACAGGGTGAATCTATTAGTGAGAAAAAGTTACGAAGTATCTTTAGATTTCACTATCCATTGCTTGAACTATACTCGAGGAATTACTGTAATTTGATTAATTAATGTTTTAAGCATGTATTAACAGAAATTTCAGAACCTTTGTAACCATCCACTACTTTTGTCGTTATGAAAATATCAAAAGTCAAGTGGATGTTGCTTAGGCACCTAGACTTCTGTTCATACTAAATTCTCCCTTTATTTGGTAATAAAAAAAATATAAATCAGGACTAAAAACGTTTTTAGAAGGCTCTGTGCTGTTTTCAGTAATTTCCAATAATGTTTAAATACAAAACAAAGTGGTATTTTTAACAATGTGATTTTTATATAAATATATTTTTATTGAACTCATGACCATTAGTTATAAGATGTTGTATTTACGGAGGGCTGCTTCTAATCAGTCAAGAAACGCCCTCTATAATATTGTATAATATGTAAAATTCTTTGTCAAAGACTAAAAATATTTGTAATATAATATATGATATTCCGCAATGAAATAATAATGAAAGAGAGAACAAAACACATTTATTTTTCTTTCTTAACAATGACAATACGATACTTTGAAATCATTTTGTTTTTTTAGCTGCGTGTACTTATGTTATGTATGGGATGTTAATACACTGCGACCCAAAAGATTTATTGTGTCCCATTCTGTCGTTAAGGGACCCTTCCAATCCTATCTTTCCAAGGAAATGTAGAATTTTAATCCTCTAATATTGTGTTACTGCTGATACCGCAAAACGGCTCAAATCCCACAAAGTGTGTTTGAGTCTCTATCCCTGCAATCTCGTTACCCTTTACCACGTTGTGTCCCGGGACCCAAGTAAGAGTAACTGTACCTCTAGACCAGTTTTGAGCTGAGTATGTAAGAGCTAAGCTCTTTGATGGCTGCTTGGCTATAGTATATGATGATGATCTCTTGTCTGGGATAGTTTTTATTGATGTTGAACTGGATACACTTCACAAAGGCGTGAGTTTCCGCCTGGAAGATGCTTGGGTATTTACCCAAACATGTACTTACTAGAATAAAGAGAGGTAGATCCTAGATAATGTTCTTTTATGGTTTCAGAAGCTACTTATATTTACTTTGCAGTACTGATATTACCTCTGATCTCTCTTTAATTTTAACTATTTGGATACTACATTCAGTAACTAAAGCCAACGATAAGGTAATGATTGTATCTGTGAAAGATATCGCTAACCTACAAATATGTTATCTCGCAAAATGGTGGTAGGTGACGGCTCATACCTTGCGTGCGCAAAAGAACAGCTCTATATACAGGGTGTTCCATCTCAGACGAGCCACCCCGTATATTTCTTATCCCATAGTAATTGGAAAATTTTCCCGAAACACGTCGGATGATTTTCTTTGGGGGACATCTTTTGACGTATATTTGAGGCTTGAACGAGCAACCCCCTATGAGGGGGTGCTTCAACCCCTCAAAATTGAACAGGGAAGAGAGGTTGAGTGATACTTTATTTGTAAGGTCTTGGAAGCCTCTTTGTAACGGTGTATGAAAAAATTCACATTCTTAAAAAAAATAATTGTTTTATCATGCTTACAATCAAAAAAATCAAAACTGCGGTTTTAAATCAAATGTTCAAATTGTCCTCCATTGACTTCCATACAATAATATGATCTTGACTGAAAACCGTCTCTAACATAGTCCAGCATAATTGGAGTTATTTGACAACACTCATTTACAATTCGTTGGCGTAGTTCGTCCAAATTTTCAGGCTGAGTCACAAAAATCTTGGACTTAAGATGTCCCCACAAGAAGAAGTCCAAAGGGTTCAGGTCAGGAGAGCGAGCAGGCCACTCCATAGGACCTCTTCTTCCAATCCAACGACCAGGGTATTGTAAATTGAGGTATTGGCGAACTGGTGCGGCGTAGTGAGGAGGAGCTCCGTCTTGTTGGAAATGCAATTATTGTTCAATTAGTAGAGGATCGTTTTCTAATTTTTCTGTTATTAACGGATCAATCGCATTGTCCAGCATTTCAAGATAAATTTCGCCATTTAAATTACCAGGAATAAACAGAGGTCCAATTAGGTGGTCTCCCAAAATTCCTACCTAAACGTTTAGCTTTTCCGGATTTTGAGTGTGAGCTTCTCGAAATACATGAGGATTTGTATCGCTTCAAATTCTACAGTTATGCCGGTTAACTTCTCCATTAAGTGAAAAAGTGCATTCGTCAGAAAAGCAAACGTTGTACAAGAAATTTGGGTTATTGTTGATACGCTCGGCCATAATTTCGCAAAACTCTTGCCTTCGATCCAAATCATCATCATTTAATTCATGAACTAATTTAATTTTGTACGGATAGAACTTGTGTTTATTCTATTCTATTCAATTTTGAGGAGTTGAAGCGCCCCCTCATAGGAGGTTACTCGTTCAAGCCTCAAATATACGTCAAAAGATGTCCCCCAAAGAAAATCATCCGACGTGGAAATTTTTCCAATTAATATGGGATAAGAAATATATGGGGTGGCTCGTCTGAGATGGAACACCCTGTATACACCTGCAATAATATGTTACGCACTTTCAGAATGCTTCTTTCTCATATACATTCTGTTTCTGTTTGTGAACGTATGTTATTGCAACGGGACGTACTACGTGTGTATTTT